AGAGAAATGTGTGTTGACTCATGAGGATCATAGGGTCCAGTTTTGGGCCCAGGCTACTGTTGTCAATCACCATAAGAAACTATGCGAAGTTTATATATTGTATATATATTTTAGAGGTCAAGCAATGGGCACAATTTAATGTTTGCGGCACATCTGGTAATAACTTCAATTACTTATTATAACTCAACACCAACATGTTTCGACTAAAAACATCAGGGCATAACCCAGGTATGAAAGTGCAACATTTTATTTTAAACTACATTAAATACAGTCAGTGTAATCTGAACTACACTGACTGTGTGGCTGTTGTTTTAGCCACATCATTCTTGTTATTTGTACAGAAGCCTTATGAGATTACCAAAGAAACATTTTATTCTGTCAACTGGACAAATGTTTTTTGAATGAAGACATTTCACAGCTCATCCAATCTGCTTCTTTTGTCCAGTTGACAGAATTGAATTTTTCTTTTGCTATGGATCCTACCTGGACACCTGAGGGATTACACAGACATAACAATATCAACGAAAACACAAAACAATGGCCAAAAGTTGTATAGGCAGAATCAAAGCCTATTAAAACATACACTCTTGTGTTCTATTTAAACTTACACTCTTGTGGCCATACAAGCTTGTCAAAGCTTGACCCTGTCAGATCTCAGAAGCTAAGCAGGGCTGGACATGGTTAGTATTTGGATGGGAGATCGCTGGGAACACCAGGTGCCATGGTGGGGAGCCAGTTGCAAAAATTGTCCTTGTGTCTTTCAGCAAGGCACTTCACCCCCATTGCCTACTGTGAAAGTAGTGTGTATGTGGTGGTGATCGGAGGGGCTGATGGCACAGATTGGCAGCCTCGCTTCCATCAATCTGCCCCAGGACAGCTGTGGCTACAGTAGTATCTTACCACCACTGTGTGGAGTGAATGAATAATGCCCTGTAAGCATATTTCTGACATATATCTGTGAAAAGAGCTATATAAATAAAAACTTACTTACTTACTTACTTTACTTCTCCTTTATAACACAATTTTTTTTGTTACAGTGTTCTCTACACCAGCACTGAACGTGTATTGTAGTCCAGAAACTACATGACAACATGTATGTATTCTAACTTTTGAATGGTTTAATTGGATTGTTAAAAGTACTTGAAGGCCACCCTGTGTCTGATAGCCATGAACATACAGTTGGTATCTCCAGGTGAAATAGAAATATTTGGAGAGACAAGGGGCCAGTCTCCATATGTTTGAGAGTGGTACACATTTGACTGCACTGTGCCAAAAAAACACACTGATTCATCTTTTACTACAGCTATACAGCACAGATGTTGGTCCAAACTCGACCATTACTGAGCATTATCTCTGTGTCACACCATGCCATTACCAGGCCTTATCTCCCACAGCGGGGCCAGCTCACAGTAAATCGCTGTTACAACCAGCTGGGCTCTCCTCTTGTGCTGCTTTTTCAGGAGACAATGTCAACAACAATACACCTTTAGTAGAGCAACATACGCTAGTGACTGCTGTCTGCTACTGTGAAGACTGCCAAGAGCACCAACCAAACATTATGTTGCATGATAATGTTTTAATAATCCCAAAAGCTGTTTTGTAGAGTATGATGCAGTTTTGAGTTCAGCAGCAAAAAACCTGATGAATAAACTTTTGTTCATGTTTGACATAACAAGATACATTTTCAGAATTACCTATAATTAAATAATGCAGAATCAATTACTCATTTTGGTCAAATATAATGGCCTACAGTCCTCATAAATTAAATGGGGGGGATAGGAACTGGAGGTACATAGATTTTCTCCTGCCCCACATTGTTCACTCCAGTAACACTAACAAGACTGGATCCAATTGGTAAAAAGAGCATAGTACTTTTTTTTTTTTTTTATAAAATAAATGTTAATGCCCATTGCACAGTACAAAAGACTCAAATTATCTGGCTTGTAATGCACCTTCCTTCCCCTACATTACAGGCAGATAATGGACACAAAAATCCAAAGTGCAGAGGCCAGAGGGATGGAAGCTACAAAATATATGTACTTTTGTTCTCCTTTACAGCTATTGCTAGACGAATGTAAATGTAAACATGTAATTACACTTTTGCCCCCTAAAGTAGAGTTACAAATGTGGATCTTACAAAAACAGTTCAGGATAGTCTGTGTGGTCCTGGATTGTCTCAACCTTAAACTTTACATTTTAAAGAAAACCTCTCTTTGTGATGTAATTTGTTTCCTTTATTTCCAGCATTTTCCTTCCTGTAACTCAGTTCTAATGAGCCGAGCCACAGCTTGGCACAGCTCTTCCTCACATGTTTCTGTGCTGTCAACACTTTCTAAAGATAACACCTCCACCTCTGCTCCATGCCGGCACCACCTCCTGTCTCCACCCCTCTGCTGCTGGCGAGTCTACATCAAACTCACTCCAGGGGTTAAATTTAATCCCAATACACTGACCAATACTGCCAGAAAGCCAAGAGATACACAGAGCCTTACGCAAACTAGCTATGCTTTTGACTACACTAATTACTTCATACACACTACTACTACCACAGCATGCTTGCCTTAAACTGGCAATTCTTCATGTTACCTCGTCTATTAAAAATTCTATTAGAAATGCAAAGAAGAACTTTTGTGTGTCCTCCATTTACTTTGCATAGTCAGATTACATTATGCAATATTAGTTCAGAAATTGAAGTATCTTTTTTGTCCATTGACGGTATGTATCACAGGCCTGCTCCCACTGCTGTGTTTGAGCTTGAATCCACTGGTGGATGGGACCCATGTGACCAATCACAGAGCAGCATTGTGGTTTGGACAGAAGCACCCAAACAAACCAAAGCAAACATGGCAACGCAGACAAACGTAGACTCAATTATAACAGAAATACATACATACAAAGAGCAGAGTGGAGTATACTTTGAGCATTTGTAGTTGAAAAAAATATTGTATCTGTGTTTCTGTTTCCTATATTATACAAAATTGAGCTTTTAACAATGTTAGTGTTGCTACCTCATCAAAAACATACCCGGATTTGTGTTTCGTTTTATTCACACATTCTTGAGTATTCATGTATTATTAGTCTACATTTCCAAAGCTCAAAATGCTCTGGTCCACCTTGTGATGTCATGTAGTGATAGTTTTTAAGTCAACAGCTAACAGTTAACTCTTACCTTTCCTTCAGTACAAATTGGCAATTCCAGGGCAGAAATTATCCAAATGATTCTAGTGAAGTTCAGTTTAAAATCACAGTAGAACACTTCCTGTATTGCCATATCACATCACAAGGTGGAACAGAATGTTTTCGGTTTAAGAAATTACTCAACACAAATATAATGAATTTATATGTTAAGGATCTTATAGTGTAAGCAAAAGTGTGATTTATCAGCAAAAGTGTGATTTATCAGCTTGTTCTGCTGTGATGCTTTGCCCATTCAGCGTGATGTATTCACCTTTTTCCTTTCAGATAGAGCAATCCTAGATTGATCATGCACAGTACTTCCTGAGTCCCCTCTGAGTGCTACACATGTCAATCAGGCTTCAGGTTACCTTTAGGTGCCCTTTAAGGAAGATCAATTGAAGAATGACTGATTGCATGACAACCTCTGCAACATTTGTCCCCAATACAATGAAATCCCCAACCATCATCAGAAAATTGATAGTGCAAGATTACCAATAAAATAATCTCTAATTGAATTAAAAAAGAAAACAAACAAACAAAAGATAAAAAGATAAGAGATAAAGACAACACGGTTGTATTTCAAGAGCTAAAACACCAATGGATGATTTTGAACTGAAAGCTGCACTGTCAGATGTAGCAGATTTCTCATTTAGTGGCAAGTATGCTGACCACTACCAGGGCGATTTTAAGGTCAAGGCTCCAGGGGATTAGAGCGCATTAATCGAGGGCGATGAGAAGAGCACTGAAGCAGCCCATTGAGGCAACTCTAATGGGACAGGAAATCAAATCTGCATTTTCTACCAACATATGTGAAGTCTGTAAAAAGGCAAAAAAAAAAAAAAAAAAAAAATGGATGGAACTGAACAACTGTAAAGCAAACACTGAAAACATTGAACCATTGAAATTTTAATTGATTGGGATCTATATAGGCCTGTCACAATAACAAATTTTAAGAGCAATATACTGCTGAAGTCAATATAGATAATGACCGATAAGGGTGAAAGCAAATAATGAAGCAGGAGTATCCACAAAAAATATATATATATTGTTGAGCTGTATAAATAAATAGCAGAATACAACACTTAAGTAATTAGTTTGTGTCATTTTAGTTCATGATTCAATCTTCTACAAATCACATTCATTAAAATAATTTGGGTGATTTCAGAACTGGAATTTTATTTATAATAAACGGAAGGTAAAAAGTATTAACTTGAAAACTACCGCTTCAACACAAAGTGGAACCAAGCGTTCTGAGCTTTGGAAATGTAGAGAGACTAAGAATAACGGGTTAGTTAATCATGTGTGAATGAAACAAGAAACAAAACAACTCCAGGTACGCCTTTGAGGAGTTAACAACAACATTATAACATGACTAAAAGCTCACAAGAGCCAATTTAGCATGCTATGGGACCTTGAAGTGTAGACTGTAGAGTGCACGTGAGCTTATAATATGTGTGGCTATATATACATTTAGCCTACATGTATGGAGCAGGTGCCAATGATCCGGGTCAAGAGTTGAGCTCCTTCAGCATGAGACAAGTTTAAGGTAACAAATTAAACTGCACATAAGAAGCACAAAGTTGATCTAACAACTAAAATAATTACATTTTCACTCTCTCTGACCAAATTACCAGTAATACTTTCAATACTGTTTGGTCCTGATACAGCATGTATTTGAAAAGCAGAATATGAAGGAGAGGGTGATAAAGTTGAAAGAATAAACCTTGTATATTTGTAGTCCCCCAATAATTCACATTTTCAGTTGTTGTAGAATAACTGGTGTGTTATTCAATATTTCCACAACACAAGGGAGATGCACTCACCAATACAAGCGTGGACTCTGACTGTCAGCTGGGTCCGTAAAATAACACTGTGCTTCTTGCCTCTGGATCTGGTGGGGACAGAGATAAAAGGTGTTAAGTGGATAAAGTCAGTACTAAACAACACAGACAAAATGACTGAGGTTTAATTTTTTGATCAACATAAAAAAAATTTGGTATAGCTAAATTAAATGTCATTATACAAGTTGAGCCCCTACCCGTATGGATGCTGAAAAATGCTAGTCAGAGCATGAACTAAACTTGTTGTCAACCAAGCAAACTCACATCATTAACACTGGACATCATATTTTCGGCATAGTTGGGGAAGTAGATGTTATTTTTATTGTGTTGCCATAGAGTTACATTTTATTAACAGTTAATTTCCATAAACGTGTGCAAAACGAGTGCTCCCCTATACTGATGTACATCTCTGGGCCGTGAGGACAGACAGCTGACTGCAATGGGTAGACACAACACACACTTAGACACACACCTCCTTATACCAGCATGGTAACACACATACATTCACTCAACTGTGGAAAAAAATATGCATGCGATATGGCAGTATAGAGGCACTGTCAAAATTCTGAATGCTCCAGTCAGTATATCAGTTCATTTTATCACATACTCATAGCACCTAGTCCAAACAGCCAGTCTGGATTTCTGATACTTCCACTGATAATGCATGATAATAACTGACAGAAAGACACACAGTTCTGTCAAAACATTAGTATACCAGGTCTTACTGTTAAAAAGTCTATATGGCTTTTTTTATTTCATGAAAATAAATAAGATCTTCTTATCAGTGCCATTTAACACAAAATAAAGCAAATAAAAAAAAAATTGAACTCTACTCTAAATTTGTACTGACAACTTGAGGCACAATCAGTCATTCACTGGCAGACGAGTCCCAACAAACCGGTTGTCCAAGACCCAAACAAGTTGTCTTTGTTTAACTGACCATCACCTGTCATATACATTACTCATTTAACTCAGAGGCAGAATCCCCACACAAACATAAGCACTCACATAGAAACCACTCTCCAGGGCTGACATGACTTTTATTCTATCAGTCCCTCAGTGCCAAACATATTAGCATACCATTCCTCCTACAAGTGGTTCTTCACATTTACATATAGTCTATAACTTTTCACAGCTACTGTCTGAGGCTTTATAAATGACAAAGCTCTGTTTACCTGTGCTTCAACATTTTTGTGTAACATAACCACGCAACAGGTAACAACAGAAAGATTCTCCTAGGTAACCCCAGCAAATGACTAACAAAATTTAAGGGGTGTTAGGCATTAGAATAGTAGAGATTATTAGGTTAATGTTTAATCGTGATTATTCAGATAACAATGTCATTGTATAAGAAAAGAGATAAAAAGTAACACAGCTTAGAATTTTGGGAGGTTTATATTTGACCTCCTCTATTAAACAAGGTATTTGATTTAGTGGTTTAAAATCTGTTCATTTGGGGGAAAATTAAACAATATAAAGCTGTAGACTGTAAAATTGCAGTAGCTGGAGAAACTGAGGGTATATCAGTCCGGGTTTCCACAGTGTTTCATATTTTCCATGGATACTCACTTCCAAGAACTCCTCATCCAGCAGCTTATGATTCTTCCTATTCAAAAAGTGACAAATCATGCAATAAATGTGTGTGTTTGAGGGCCATGGCACTACTAAAGGCGCCCTGGACAGGTAAAGGTGTTTTGACAGTGAAGTCTTGGCATGGAGAAGTGTAAGAGAGGAACTGCTCATACCCTGTGTCATCTTGCTGAAATCCCTCCAGTTCGTCTCTTTGCTCAGCCAGGGATGACTCCAAATCGAGATAGGTGCCATTGTGAGACAGCTGGAGTGCACAGTCATCAAGCTATAAAAACAAAAACATATGGAAAAAACATTATTATCAGTGGTTCTAAATCGAAATAGACGTTGTCACCTTGAAGAGAGAGAAAGTTATTTCTTAGTAGTGGTAGTACTAGAATACTAATCAACACTAAAACTAGTACTGAAACTAAATGCAATGCAATATAAATAAACAGGACAAAATCTGATTTTAGAATAATCTTGGTAAAATAAAGACAATAATTATGAATTTGTGATGAAATTATCATTATTATCATTATGTACTGCATGAAATGACAGCTGGAACATTTTACTTGAGTGAACTTTGCATTGATCTTGTTGAGTGATCATACTACTACTACAGTTGTACTTATAAGTACAGTGCCTTTGTTTAAGAACATACTTTGAACACTAAATCCACCCATGATCTAGAGTTAGGGTTAGGGTTAGGCTTTGGAAACTATGATTGTGCACTGGATCTTAATGCAGAGGAATGGCACAATTGATTTGATGTCATACTCTGGCTGCAGGAATGACACTGGACATTCAGACAGTCTATTCAAGCTTCCCCCACTCTTTGCCTCTGCATGTGTTTCACACCCTGTTCCTAAAACCACTATCTTGTAAAATAATGTTGCTTTATGGGCCTCGTTGTTTGAACAAGCACAATGGTCCAGAAAAAGAAGCTGTTTTTTAGTGTGGCATGGTGGCTCTGTTTTCTGCATTACTGTTAAAGGGATTAAGTCGATGAAGCTGTTAAGCCTGCAAAACCAAATCCAGAATAGGACATGACAAAGAAATTTGATTTGTAATGGTTTAAACATTTGCTTATGCCAAAATGACAAGACTGAAGTAAGGATTGACTTCTGTTAAACAGTTTGTATAATCTCACAACAGAAGCTCACAAGTTCCTCTGGAAGAGGGTAAAAGTACTTGCAACTGAACTTAGAAAAACATATTGTAATTTTAAAATGTCATTACTCAAGTAAAAATGTAGGCATAAATTCAACCAGCTAAAATATTTCTAACCTCCTGCCACCAAATTTCCCTCTCAAACAACAATCACCCATTCTTCTCTTGTCCCTACAGCCCATCTCCACAGCAGTATCAGAAGACTCCACCCCCTCAGCTTCTCAATCTCCTTAACTACCAACAACATGTGGGTATGTAGGAAGATATTTTACTCAACAAATCTATTATGTATTGCTCTACGGATGCTTCAGTAAGTTGCAATTATTAATACAATTTGCTGCATGTTCTGTTACCACTGTAACCTGTAGCTTTTATTAGTATGTGTTGTTGTGCCATCCCCAACATGGGAATTTTGACTGATTTAGGTTAAGTTATGCATTAATCAAACACACAAAAAATCCTACAGGACTTACAGCTATCCTGCTCTGTAATGAGAAACCATGCAGACCATATATTGATATTATTGGGTTCTCCACCATGGCCACACATAGCGAAGTCACACAGTCATCACAGGTGCTTGTACGTGACAGTTTGTGAAAATAGGGAATTATCATTGTTCTGATAAACTGGAATTAACTGTCATTGATTCTATCAGTGTATAAATAAATAAGACTAGTAACTCCATGTCCCCATTGTTTATTCAGCCTTTAATTTTAACTGGGCTTTTAAAATGGACATGTGGCAATCCAGTCAAGCTACATGACGACACATGGATCACAAGGCCTGGTCTGCTCCCAGTCTTTTCCTCCCTCTCTTTTGGTAAGTGAGACGCGGACTGCTGGATGGACTCAGGGCTTAAATATAACCCAGCTATATTTACTGCACTCTGAGGCAGCAGCATGCTAACAGGAGTTCAGGGTGGGTGTGTCTGCAGAAGCCCAACAGTCAAGAGGAGAGAAGTTTGGGAACAAAACTAGAGAGATCTTGAAGTTTAAGAGTTTATTTTTTACATATAATGTTACTTCATTCACCAGGCAAATAGAAAACTTAAAGAAAACTTACTCTTCTATCTGGTAGATTTAGAGCCCCCCTCTAATTGCTCCCTCTGTTAAGTCACTCCCCCTTCAGAGTGCTAGCACAATACAATCAGCATGCATTCTGCTACTGAAACTACTACTCATCACATAACGTTTGTGATGTTGAAGTGTATTGTTTTGTATTCAGCTCTTGTATATCTATGAAAAATGGCCATACGGGAGCATGGGTAACTTAGGCTTGTGGGCTAGCCCTTGTACAGGCCTGTACTGCTAACTGTAAGGAGGGCTTCAGTAGGGCCCGCGAGAGATGTGAGAGAGATGTGGATGGATGACAGGCTTTTGACATTGATGTTAGCATGGTAGCATCCATAAAGTTGATTTTGCACAATACCCCCTCTTTAAAGGTCAAATTTCGATTTTCTATATTTAAAAGATCAGAGTTTACTGTTTACAAAATAGGGCAAATTTCTGGTGCCTTCAAGTTTGATGATACTACTATAGGTACTAGAAAAAAATCATCTGACTCCTAAATGAAAACAGCTTTTGATTCCCGGTGATTAGAACTAGAACTGTAGACTCTGAATTACAACTTTTATTTCAGGCTATGATGGCTGTTGGGTAATCTTAAAACAAAGGACAGATCAAATAAGGGGGTTGCAGCAGGGGGGGTTCACATGTGGCGAGCTTAATCATGACCTGTCCCAGTGCCCCACTTCTCTATAAGCACATTTCACCAAGAGCACAATCTGTCAAACCATTATTCAGCAATAATATTTATGTTCCACAATTTCATATGAGGCAATGTCTATCAGTGAACAAGTTTTGGTGCTCAGTATTATATGTGCGCTGTCAAAGTCAGACATCTTCAGACATCCAATTTCAGCTTATTGCTATAACAACAAATATTACTTAGTGATAAATATTGCATGGATAGCTAGAAGTTTTGTAACACAAGATTTTAAAGGCTGGCTTTAAAGGGTGTCTCTTTCCTAAAACACTTCATTTAGGTTATACGAGGAACAACATAACAAAATACATCACGTTGATTGGCACCCCCAGAACAACCACATACTCCTAACAGCAGTATATTTTGCACCCATTTCATCAAAAAACTCATCAGCAGAGGGCAACAAGGAGAGGACAAGGGGAGTAATTACTAACATGTTAAAACAACATAGAGGCTGGCAAACTGCTAATGATGCCTTTACGTAACTGGGAACTTTAGAAACTTGTGTATTTACCATTAAAAGTCACAAAAGCATAACCCTCTTTGAAGATAGAGGAGGGCGTGCTCCATGCTGCTGTAAAATAAGCTAATATAGATTTAATGAGGGCCACTAAATAATTCTATAAATGTTAGATTGTTTGGGAGAACAGTTTAATAGAGAAGTGACTAGTGACTCTGGAGAGATTTCTCACACAATATCCAGCTCATTGAAGATGTTTAAAGGTGCATTATGTACAGTAACTTTTCTTGTGGGGTTCTGCCAGCTGCATGTCTATTCCATGACTTTGTTTTGAGTGGACTGTTGCACAGTTTGGCATTAAACATTTGTATCTAGATTTCACCCAATAACCAGCTTTTGGAGCAAAGAAAAACATTCTAAAATGCTGATTCTTACTTTGAGTGGGGTCACTTGGCCACAGATCTCCAGGTCTCATTTATAAAACTTCACATGGACATCTTAGTAAATGTATGCCCAGACAAAATATAAACTTGCTCCTTTCTCATCTCTCTGAGCACAGATCATCTTCTGAATCTGAAAGCCTGACATTCCATGCCAAGTTGCATATTTATAGATCACAAACTTAACTTGGAAAGTCAAAATTTTTTTTGTACATATGCATACCTTAAGACCCTTGACCAGTGACTTGATAGCGTTACCTGCTTTTCTCCATGGAGATTTTAAATGCCATACTCAGGACAAAGTAATGACATCTCCATGGAGGCAAGCAAGTGGCAGACCCTCTACAACAAAAGTTACCTTGCGACTACTAATGAAACAGGTTAGCTCAGCACAAGAAGGAGTTGACCATGAACTCTACTGAAATGACCAAAACTATGTGGTGACAATGCATGGCTAGTGAGGTGGAAGGGATGAATCTGGAAGCAGCAGGGAGGGAGAGGTTAGGGAAAGAGCTGCAGCGGGAGAGAACAAAGTATCCAGATGGTGGCCACAAGAATTCTGGGACAAGTGACCTATACTTTACATGTGAGGCAGTGAGCCATACACGCACTCAGCTATCATCACAATATAATCATATACTGTGGTAGTCCATGCCTTTATGTGAGTAGACAAAAACAGAAAAAGAAGTAGATATTTCTTCACCTGGAAAAATAGGTAAAATCAAATATGGTGTAGGCTACTGGTCTGGTTAGCATCTTTACAGTAAGACACATGTATAACCAAAAAGCAATACATTTGGTAGTGCCCTTTGTGCTCATCTAATGGGAACAAAATTGCAAACAAGAATAGGGGCCTGTGCCATGCGTCCCTCTATAGGTAGTAATCATAGGCTTTTCTGCTCTTCAGGCAATTTTTCATTTGTGTTGTGGCTTTCTAAGATGGGGCAAAATACACTGAGCTGGAAAAGTGATTTGCTGTTGAAAGCCAGTTTATAGTCTTCAAATCAGGCTTCCAACAGATCTCAGTTTTACGCACAACGGCTATAGATTTAACCGAGAGCTGTTCTAAAGCATAATGCTAAATATTTTGAAGTAATTTATGCTAATGTAAGTCTAAATATATAAGTATGAGATACTTGGCAGTGGAAGTTATCTTACTTCTGGGATAGTAAAGCACAATGTTCCATGTGACCAATCTTTGTCTTAGTGTTATTTTCTTCTGATATTTAATTTGTAAATATTAATTAATCAATCAATTTGTAAAATCAATTAAATTGTATTGTCAACAATACTACATTGAATATTATTATTTACACAATCTGATGGGACATTCATCAGATTCATACAGTAGAACCTAAATAAAGGCTTCCCATTAATGAGCACCCTTGACTTGCTTAACAGCAGAAACATTCAAAGCTCCCCTGGTCAAAGCTCCCCTAGTCTGAATGTATGATGGAATATTACAGAGACGCACCAAGAAGCGGCCCACACCTGTTCACCATTTCACACCGTCACATTATAAGATTATTGTGTCAGATTTATATGAATCTATTTCGGAGCAATCTGGGTTAGATGTTGCTAAGGTCTCTAACATTTGCAACCTTGTTGCATTCTTGTAGCTGAAGAGCCAATCACTTGTGCTGGCAAGTGTTAAATATAGCAATGGTGGCCATGGAAGTTTATTTGGGGGTGGCTGGAATGGCAAAAAAGGAAGAGTTAAAATGTTAGCACGATTAAAGTAACTTTTAGTTCAATTTTAGGTTATTATTTAGCCGGGTGGTGGTTAGAATAAAAACATGAATATGGAATAGCCGCATTGTAACATATAATTATTGAACCAACAAGAACAATTAGAAATATAAATAAATAGAAATAGTGAAATAAATAAATAAATAAATAAATACATTTCTATCTAACACAAAACTTCTTTGTAAACTTAACTTCGACCATCTTAAAAACTTCAGCACTATCGCCTTCGTTGTGCTGCGGTTTGGAGAGAGGTGAAAGTACCTTGTGGGGGGCTTTGAGGAGTCGGTGGATGCCCGCGAGTTGGTTGATGAGCGGGATGTCCTCCCTGAAGGTGTATAGCGGAGGTCTGGTCGGTTCTGGGAAGTTTGTGCTGTTAAAAGGATCGGTATCATCTAAAAATTGAACCCTGCACACAAACGTGGCCATGGCTCATCCATGCAGTGTCTCTGTGAAGCGCAGTCCTGCGTCTATTGCTGAGGCAGCACGGAGTCCTCTCCTGGTAACGACAACAAACCTAGGTCGCCAAGTGCGCCAAGCAGCGGCTGGCCTGTGTCCTGCGGGACTGGGGGGTCAGGGGATGCGTGAGGAGGCGCAGAAGTCTTCCCTGGACTCTCCCTTTGCTGAGGCTCCCGCAGTTATTCTAGTGGAAGCAGGTGGCTGCAGACTCCAGCAGAGCCGGACTGTGAAGGATCAGAGCTGCTTGGGACAGCCGGTCTGCTGTCTGTCTAGTCCCACTAAATCCACCCCCATATCTATTTTCCCCTCTGCCTCATCTCCTCCCCCCCCTCCGTTCAAATCACTGTCCCGGCTTAGCACCAGACTCCTGCATGAAAATAAACAACATACTAAACAATCGCATTTCATTAGGCTACTACAATTGCGCATTTTCGAAAATCGTTAAAACAAAAATATATACTTTGTTTATGATAGGATCAAACCAACATATTGTTGCCTGCAGGCGTTACAGTAACAATCAAGAATGAATAGGCCAAGGAAGGTCTGGAATTAGGGTCATACAGCCAACTCTAATATTCAATTGCCTCTAGGTCGTGTTATGATGCACGATATCGTTGCAAGTGCCTTTTCATTTCTCAACTCCACTGATGAGTTGGTATGACAATTCTAAACGACATTGGCACCATCTAGTGGTGAAGAAGAGCAAACGCAGAGGTTTTATATATATATATATATATATATATATATATATATATATATATATATATATATATATATATATATATATATATATATATATATATATATATATATATATATATATATATCTGAATGACTACTAATGACCCACTGTGAAGTAATTAAATAATGAACACACCCTGAGAATCAGTGACATGATCGTATCTTATCATGACATGACATTTTAACGGCTTGGATAAACCTGAGGTTGCTATAAGGTTTGTAGTGACTTTCACTTAGCTGTTTCTGTATTTTATACAGAAATCATCTCCCTTGAAAATAATGAAATCTATAACATATTTGAATTCTCTCTTATTTTATACTAATGTTATTGCTAGGAACATTTACCCTAATATTAAAATATCAACATGCTAATACATGACTTTTCTAGCAATTTTTAGGTGACCATTTTTATGGTAGGCCTAGTCTAGTGTTTTTTCACATATTTTCACAGAGGCAGCATGTAAACAACATTTCTAAATTCAGGGGGAAAATGACAAAAAATGTTTTGTCCCACTTGAAGCTTATATTTATGGCATGACATCATGGACACATGGTGCAAGCCCAGTTTAATAGATGACCTGGAACCTATAAGCAGTAAACCAAGTCACAGACCCATAGCCATTCACTGAACAGTTGGGGAAGGACAACATGAGGTTTGCTTTTCCCAACCCAGGGATTGAGGATAGGATCCCCTCTTTTGGGAATCTGGAGACAGATAAAGAGACTGAAGACAGGCCCAAATGGGATAACAAGGCCCAGTACCTACTCACCTGTGTGGGATTTTGTGTGGGACTGGGGAACGTCTGGAGGTTCCCTTATTTATGCCAGAGCCATGGAGGAGGTAGGCCTGCTTCATCATCATATTTAAGCATAAACGGAACAAAATACATAATAATTACACATAAGAACATTATATTGCTGGGTTTCAGATTCACAGCATTCTATAGGCCAATATTATTTTATACAGATGGTGGCAGCTAAAATTAATGTTGTTCAACTGCAGATTTTTTCTGTAATATAACATGGTCTTGGGTCTAGCCACTAATAGAAATGATCAGGTTTGATATTAGGGATATAACCTTTTTGATATTTCATGGCAAAATACAATGTAATTCATTAACAGGAAAACTGACTCTTGCCCTTCATCCATCTCGAAGTATGACGTCATCACATTTGGGAATCTGAAAACCATCAGTGCATTTAGTATACAGACTATGAACAGACACAAATGACTTGAAAATACATTATGTTACATATCATGCCCAGTAAAGAGGAACTGGCTTTCACATTTAGTTTAGAAGAGTCAAAAACCTGCACAACATCTGTACAAATAGATGTTCAGCAAAAGGGCCGCATGCTGCACATCTGGTTCACTGCTGTAAACCATTTAATCAGAAGTAAATGAATCTATCAAGAAAGTCAATAACAACAATTACATATATGTGGCCTAGAGAAACGTTATATAATAGAGGCAAATCAGACAAAATCTTCATCTTATAAGCTTTAAGTATTATCAAGTAATGACTCCAAATCAGTATAATCATAAATGATCTGTAAGCTGTTTCTAATCACCTTGTTTTCATATGGTGCAATAAAAACATAGTGAACTTTCACCTCACAACACACTCCACCTTCATCAGAGATAAGGGACATAAAGAAATCTGGTCAGTTTCTATTACTATTATACCCTATAACGAAGTATTTTTTATCAAACTAAATAAAACAATATATAAATTCAGAGAGGCAGAGCAAACTATATGCTGATAAATAAGTATGTTTTTCAAAAGAACAGTGAATCACCTTTTAATACATCCATTATAATTGAATGCGGCCTCCTCTTTAGGTGCTTTCATGATCCCTTTTTTGATTCTGCTTGTTCTGGAGGGAATCCCATTATTGCACTTAGAATTTGCTATTGGTCAACGCCTCAGAAAGGGAAGCCTTGGGGTCTGGGGGAGTATTAACCCCTACCTGACTGGTGTGGGTGAGTAAAGTCAGAAGCAGTTGGATTGCAGTTATTGTACATCCAATATTCACTAACAGTTTGGTTGATCTTTTTGTAGGAATTGCATCAATGGCTGTGTCATTCTTAGTGGGAATGTACTATAACACGATTATTGCCTGGGTGTTATGGTATTTCTTTCACTCTTTCCAGAGCCCACTGCCATGGAGCCAATGTCCACTCAATGATAACAAAACAGGCAGGATATTATTTATAATTTTATTAGTGATTTTAGACAGGAGCTAAAATTACTTTAATTTGTTTTGTGTCTACAGATCTGGTAGCTGAGTGTGCACTCAGTAGTTCAGTTGACTATTTCTGGTACAGAGAAACACTGAACATCTCCACGTCAATAGAGGAGTCGGGTGGGTTGCAGTGGCCCATGGTGCTGTGTTTAGTTGTGGCTTGGACAGTTCTTTATGTCTCCTGCATCAGGGGCATTGAGACAACAGGAAAGGTTCTGAATGCACATGTCTACTACTATTTTCATAGTGGTAAGAGAAATTAAAATCATGTTATCTTCATTTAGGCAGTGTACATCACATCCACACTACCCTACGTTGTCCTCACCATCTTTCTCATCAGAGGCTTGACCCTTAAAGGATCTTTAGATGGAATCAAGTTTCTCTTCACACCTGATGTCAGTGGAGAAATAATTCTTCACCTAAAAGTACACAATATAATATACTGTTAAAAACCTTTGCCTGTCTGTCTATAGCTGAATGAACTCATGAATCCTACAACCTGGCTTGATGCTGGGGCACAAGTTTTCTACTCCTTCTCTTTGGCCTTCGGTGGGCTCATCTCCTTCTCCAGTTATAACTCTGTGCAGTGAGTCACTTCTGCCCTAATCTTATCTGAGCAGATAAGAATATAACAACTCCTAACGCTCTTCACATGCTATGAGTGCACAATTGGTTAATGTTCTCTTTAAAAACACTTCAGGATAGATTTAAGAAATCAAAATGAACTTGTACTGTCTATTTGAATTTGTGGGCTTCAGATATACATTTATACAAAATATCTCGTAAACATGTTATTGCGTAACATTTACTTTTAATTCATGTGATGAATACAGATGTATTTTCTGTTTCTAATACTTCAGCAACAACTGTGAGCAGGATGCTGTCATTATCTCCATTATTAACGGCTGCACATCTGTTTATGCTGCTACGGTAATCTACTCTATCATTGGCTTCAGGGCCACAGAACAGTTCAACGCTTGTCTCAATGGGTAAACACTGAAACATAAATAAAGCTTCAAGAACATGGACAAATGTAAAGAAATTTCAACAAATTTTAACAGAAACATTCTAATGCTGCTGAATGGGCTGAATCTGGCAGAAGGGAACATCACAGAGAGCAATTACAATGAAATGCTTCAGCAGCTCAACAGTTCAGACCAATACCAATCTATTATCCAAGGGCTAGACCTATCCACCTGCGATCTCCAAACATTTCTAAGTGAGGCATGTATCTGCATCTTATCTTATGTTACTATGTTGTTCCTTTTATACAGATCAAACTGTTTATTTATGTGCTTTAGGGAGTTGAGGGAACAGGTTTGGCCTTCATTGTGTTTACAGAAGCCATCACAAAAATGCCCATTTCTCCACTCTGGGCAGTACTATTCTTTATTATGCTGTTCTGCCTTGGGCTTTCTACTATGTTTGGCAGTGTAGAAGGAGTAGTTGTCCCTTTGCAAGACCTTCAAATTTTCCCTAAAAACTTCCCAAAAGAGGCACTCACAGGTAGGAAAAGAAACATACAGTATATATATACTTTTTTCAATCAAAACTCTAACAACAGTTGCACATGTATGTATTGCAGGTATAGTGTGTTTCGTAAGTTTCCTGATTGCGCTGATCTTCTCTATGCGTTCAGGGGACTACTGGCTAGCTCTGTTTGACAGCTTTGCTGGTTCTGTCCCTTTACTTATTATTGCTTTCTGTGAAATGATAGCTGTGGCCTACATCTATGGAATAGACAGGTATGACATGTTGCTTTATGTCTACTATGGATGCAGAATCAAAATAATAATAATAATTGTTATTATAATTATTACTAGTCCTCTTCCATGTTTTTAAAATATAAACAAGCAAGGCAATGCAAAAATGATGCTGATGCTTAATGTGCTATTACTATATGAAACCTATATTTTGTTTCCTTTGTGCTGTAGTCAAGTAAGAAATTTTGGTCAACAAAATTGTGCATCAGTTAAATGACTAAAAGGGGGTGGCACGTGGCACTGATCACACAATTATTAGATTCTCGTACACAGAGTGTACACAGAGATCTAGCCTTTATACTATATTATACAGGCAAGTGAATTAAACTGTACAGTCACCCAGAAAACTACAGCAAAACTCACTTCATGTTTTCTTCTTTCAGCTGGTGCCCAGATTTGTAAATCCTTTTAATTGTGATAAAATAACTAAATGATTGATGCATTTGGCTGACTAAAACACCACAGACCAATTAGTCAGTCAGTTAGCAATTTCAATTATTGACCTTCTAACGGATTTTTTCATTGATAGGTTTAACAAAGACATCGAGTTCATGATTGGGCACAAGCCAAACATCTTCTGGCAGGTCACATGGAGAGTGGTCAGCCCTCTGATTGTGCTGCTCATCTTTGTGTTCTACCTCGTCAGTAAAATCAGTTCCAAATTGACTTACATCACATGGAATCCTGCCTCGGTGAGTGGAACCGTCTTCATTGATTAGAATTATCAGCTGTTCTTCTTCTGATTATGGATGTTTTTATTAATTAAAAAAAAAAAATGTGTTGTGTTCACAGGAAAACTTCCCAAAGCTGGAGATGCTGTCCTATCCTGACTGGGTCTACGCTCTCATCTTCATTCTTTCTGGAGTACCAAGTCTGATCATTCCTGTATTTGCTCTGTACAAGTTTTTACAAAAACGCATCTGCAACAAAAACACACACAAAAACAGCTCTTAATATAATCAGATGTAATGTTTATGTCTTTTCAATTGTACTTTATATAAGAACCAATATTTTAAAAAAAAAAGTTGCATTTGTATGAGTTATTTGATTTTATGCTCTGAAAATATATTATTAGCATTAGACTGATTGTAATTAACCAAATGACCAATAACTTTTTACTTGCTTTTGCATAAAATTGTATCAGATTGTGTTATGTTATAGCCTTGAGTTGTTTTCCCGTTTTCATGTTGCTCTTATCAGGTACACATGTCTGCAAGTCTATAGACATGCAGAAGTTTATAATGTCTCTGATAATAAACCTTACAATGGCTCCTAAGATACAGGGCGGAACACCAAAAGATGAAAAAGCATAATTAGCCTTTACTGGACACTTTGGATATCGTCATCTTTATGAAAGAGCAGAAAATAGCCTGACTCCTCCCCTATAGTGCTAAACAATGTAAATGTTGTCCTTAGTTACTTATTATAATTAGTGGAAAACCTGATTAGATAGCCCCCTGACTTAACTGGTTCATAATGGATATGTAGTATTTAAAAATATGTGAACATTTGGCACCTTTTTTTGTATATTTGAAAGGTTGTATAGTTTACATATTTGTTTGCTTGTGTTTCTAAACAAAATCAAATATATTTGTTTGACACTTTTATTCACTGTTTTTGATTTTATTTTGCATACACACAAAATCGTATCACGTACATGGTAGCAAAGGACATTTTTAATGTTTATTGTCATACAACATTAGCCTATGGCCCCTTTCAATAAAAAAAACAAAAAACATTTCTCTCTCTGAAGGACAGAAGATAAGATTTGCTAATCCCTTTCATAAAAACTGAGAACACAGTAGTGGGACACCTTCAATAACAATTTTAATCAGCCATTCATTTCAAATCAATATTAAAATCAGCCACGTGATTGGAATGGTCACTGTTGTCATGTGATGCATTAACCATTGCATCTTCTCCGCTTATACCTGCTGACTTAACATAATAAAGTACAGACTTTAATAAGCTACTGATAAGTGTGGTTTAGATGCCAGGGGTCAAAGTGAGCATTTCAGAGCAGTGAGACACAGGAAGAGAAGCCAAGGGAGAATCAGTAACAGAGAACAGCTTGGGCATGAAACAAGGAGCATAATACATTACTAAACACAACATATTTTTTTCTTAACTAGAATGAAGCTAAAGTTACCGAACCCCGGTTTGGACAGAAGGATTCCTAGTCATGGAGACCTGGAAAGGATGGAGAAGGAAGAGGCTGGAGACAGGCCCAAGTGGGACAACAAGGCCCAGTACCTGCTCACCTGTGTGGGCTTCTGTGTGGGACTGGGGAATGTTTGGAGATTCCCCTACTTATGCCAGAGTCATGGAGGAGGTGAGTTGCAGTATTGTGTGCACTGGAGTAAGAGCAGACAAAAAAGGTATGTCTCTATGTATTTATTAACTCACAAAGTTAACAAGAAAAACAAATTAAAAATGTGCTGATAAAGGCACACTACTACAATCTTTGTAATGACATTAACAAAATATTAAATAAACTTATAAATAAAATAAGGACTGAAAAAAATATATATATTCAAAATAAAAAATATTTTTGACAATACACAACAATTTATTCTTGCTAAATATTTCAATTAATAAAAATGTCTATTTATTGGTAACTCAAATTTAAGTTGCAAATAAATGATCACCTTTTCAAATGGTCAGATTTATATAACGCATTCAAAGCACTCAAAGCACATACAAATAAGCCTGCATTTATACAGGACACGGACACTGGGGCCAAAGGGGGTTAAGTGTATTTTCCAAAAGACATAACAACAGTATTTATCAGTGGGAGATTGAACTGCCAATCTGTGGGTCAGTGGATCTGACTACTCTTTCAAAACTGTTCATGTCGAGAGCAGGATTTCAGCCGCTAACCTTTAGATCAGACAAACATCAACGAAGACTGTCACTCCCAATACATTAGATGAACATTTTTATTACACATTTCATAGAGTAAAATAGCAACAATGAAATAATTAGTTAATAGTTATGTGCTTCTCTTATGTAAACTAGTTAATAGTAAACTTTATTTGACTTGTCTTTTGTAAACTAGTCAATAGTCAAATTTGTTTTATTTGCTGCTTTTCCAGGTGCCTTTATGATCCCATTCCTAATTCTTTTGGTGCTGGAGGGAATCCCACTGCTGTACCTGGAGTTTGCTATTGGTCAGAGGCTCAGGAAGGGCAGTGTGGGGGTTTGGAGGTCAATAAACCCTTATCTTACAGGAGTAGGTGAGTACAAGATTTATTGTTCAAAATGTTTTACAGTACACATTTAAAAAAAAAAAAACATTCATGTTTTATAGGAATTGCTTCTATGTTGGTTTCTTTCTTGGTGGGAATGTATTACAATACCATCATGGCCTGGATCATGTGGTACCTCTTCAACTCATTCCAAAGCCCACTGCCTTGGAGTCAATGTCCCCTTAATGCAAACAGGACAGGTTCGTCTCTACTTAAAATGATAACTTTTATGTTTATGCATTCTAATCACCAATATGTCCTTGCTGCAGGTTTGATTGATGAGTGTGCCCGCAGCAGCACAGTGGACTACTTTTGGTACAGGGAGACTCTGAACACAGCCACATCTATTGAGGAAGCTGGGGACCTACAATGGTGGATGGTGTGTGCCCTGGTGGCTGCCTGGACATTGCTGTATGTCTGTACAATCCGAGGAATTGAGACCACGGGAAAGGTCTAAGAGTCAAATATTATATCTTATTATTCAATGCATCAGATGATTTTTATGTGTTTTTTCCTGTCTCTCTACAGGCTGTGTACATCACATCCACTTTGCCCTATCTGGTCCTAACCATCTTCCTCATCAGGGGTCTGACCCTTAAAGGCTCAGTGGAAGGGATCAAGTTCCTCTTCACACCAGATGTAAGTTTAGTCATTTCTGTGACTATAAAATGCTGATGCCAGAAATTCCAGCAATAAGCTATCACATATAGATCATAATACAACAGCTTAGAGTCACAAGAATAAAACGTAATTTTTTGAGCGCTCAAGCCTCAAATGCAGATTGATACAGGATTATTCAAACATGCATGAATCACTCAAATCACAACTTCGAGTAACCTGGTAATTGGCTGTCACAGTAATTACTATATGGACTTATTGTTCAATATTTGAAAGTTGGAACAATATATTTTGGGCTCAGTATTTATTATCTGTATAATTTCATTATAAAAGTGGTGATCTGTGCAATTTTGTTGCATTGTTTGTTTGTAACATAATAACATTTGAGCAACAAAAAGGTTGAAGTGACTTCTATGGCTAATTACTGGTTTACCCTGCTATTTATCTGTTGTATCTCTCGCCTTTGAATTACGCTGTCTATTTAAAAATGTTTACTAACATTATCTTTCATTATTCTTATTGTGTCAGTGGTATAAAGTAGTTTCAGTGTTATCATTTATAAGAATATATCATGCTTCAAAATGTATTGTGACAGTCCTAGCTGGTGATAATGGGAAAGCCATTATAACATACTTCAAGCTTATCAAAATGGTATTAATACTACCATGACATTTCAATAATGGGACCAGATGTGTTGACTTCATCAAGATGTCCAAAGGCTTTTATGATATCAGACTAATCTTTGCAAAAGGTGGAAAGTGCATGGGTTGTCCTAAATATAGAGCAGAACTACAACTGATCATAAAATACAGCATGTACCTTAAAATGACAGGTCAACACATGTCCAAAGTATTAAAACAATAAAAAATCCAACTCTGGGCAATGGATTTTATTGGTTTATGAGATAATTTTACTCTAGAACTCTAGTAATCTCAAAAAGTGGTAATGTCAAAAGAACACAATGGGCATTAAACTGTTCTCGTCCAGGTGAATGAATTGATGAACCCCACGACATGGCTAGATGCAGGGGCCCAGGTTTTCTATTCATTCTCCCTAGCCTTTGGAGGTCTCATCTCCTTTTCAAGCTACAACTCCATTCAGTGAGTCAAAATCCTCACCTTTGTGTGTTCACATTGAGTTGAACGGTTTGCCACAGCTTGCCAAATGTTGCGTATTTTTGCAGCAACAACTGTGAACAAGACGCAGTTCTAATCTCCATCATCAACGGCTGTACATCAGTATACTCAGCCACTGTTATTTACTCCATCATTGGGTTCAGGGCCACACAGAACTTCGACGACTGCATGTCAGAGTAAGTGTAAAAGGTTTCAGAAAGATTTCATGTCACCTCTATTCTCACTCTAACTATTGACATTCATATTTGTTTTTCATAGCAATATAATGAAATTGACTAATGCCTTTAACTTGCCTGAGAGCAACATCACTGACACTAACTACGATGAGACTCTGGGTTTCCTGAATCAGACCAACCCTGCTTTAGTTGAAAGCTTGAACTTAGCCACTTGTGACATGAAGTTTTTCCTCAGCCAGGTAAGCAGATCTCACAAAATGGACTGCCTATTTTACTGGAATAGATTATTAACCATGACCATGTTGTCCAGGGGGTGGAAGGAACAGGCCTGGCCTTTATTGTATTTACAGAAGCCATCATCCGGATGCCAGTTTCACCTCTATGGGCCGTGCTGTTCTTTGTCATGCTCTTTTGCCTTGGTCTCTCCACTATGTTCGGAAATATTGAGGGAGTGGTAGTCCCTCTGCAAGATCTCAATATTCTCCCCAAAAGATGGCCGAAAGAAGTCTTTTGTGGTAAATGTGTTATATGCTCATTCAGGCAACATCATGACCATTACTAGTGACATTCAGGCAACAACATGACCATTACTAGTGACACCCTCCGACCACATACATATCATATTTGGTTTGGTGGATGTTGGCTCTTATCACTGAGTTACTGTTGCCCCAGTATGAAAAATGGGTTGTGACATAACACAGCATTTGAAGTAGTCATTACACTAAGGTGGTCATAATGTTATGTCTAAACAACTGAACGCATATCATCATGTTTCACACTACCATTTGAAATTTTCTGTCAATCAGGTTTGACCTGCCTCATCTCATTTGCACTTGGACTTATTTTTGCATTACGCTCTGGAAACTACTGGCTGGCACTGTTTGATAATTATGCCGGCTCAATTCCTCTGCTGGTCATTGGCTTCTGTGAAATGATTGCAGTTATCTACATCTATGGAATAGACCGGTAAGTCTGTGTGAAGTTAAATAATATACCATATATAACTATATGAGTCACACAAGGTATGATATAACATACCTGCCTATGGCAACATTTCCCATTAAAACAACTATGACCTTTGTGTTGAGATAAAATGCTGTACTTCTTATCATACAGGAATTTCTATTATGCACACAGTAGTAAATAATGCAAAATATGTCTTTGTTTTATATATTTTGTCTGCAATGGTATGCTATTCTTTTTCTTTTTCAACTATCCTAAATAAACTATAAATATATTTAAACACTTCATGTTGGATGAACTACAAAATATATATTTTATATATTTGTACTGTTAAACACTTTTTCCATTATATTTCAAAAAGGTGATGCTTTTAACAACACTATATCTAAATTGCTTTCATGGTGGTCATAACTGACTCCATTTAGCATTTACTGGACTAATAAAAGTACAAGGTCATTTTTATGTTTACTTTTACCACCATTTTGCTGGCACTTAACTTTTACACTTCCTCTCTCTATGTCCAATCAGGTTTAATAAGGACGTTCAGTTTATGATTGGCCACAAGCCCAACATATTCTGGCAAATCGCATGGAGAGTGGTGAGCCCCCTCATCATGGTCTTCATTTTGGTCTTCTACTTTGTTACCCAAGTTACCAAAAGTGTCACCTATCTGGTCTGGGACCCGGCCTCGGTGAGTAAAATGTTGTATTTCAGAATCCAAATTGTATGATTTCCTTTAATCTAATGCCCGATTGTTTCGTTTACTACAGGAGACATTCCCAACTCTAGACAAACAACCCTATCCTACATTTGTGTATGTTATCATATTCATCTTGGCTGGCATTCCCAGTTTAAGCATTCCGGCATTTGCACTTTACAAATTTATCCAGAGGAAATGCTGTAAGAACAGGGTCCACCAAAGTGACTCAGTGGACTCTATTTCAGCTAAGGTTCAGATGAATGGGAAAATGTGAATCTATAATTTGTAACTAAGTAAGACGAATGCATGAGATTGTTTGCGTATTGTGCTGCTCTTTTCTTCTGTTATATCTATTATAACGTGTGTTTCTCTATGATTATAATTGCTCTATTTGTGACATACAGCAATTGACTTGTACTTGTACACTGCATGGCATGATTTAAGCCTAATATAACAAAAGTATGATGAGTATGAAGTAAGATTCATGCCTGTTTTGTAAAATTATATTACTGCTGTTTTGCCATTATGCCATGTAAAAACAAGTAGACCCTTTCTATAGATACTGTACAGAAAGAATGTGTTTAATCAAACAATATTTATTTAATGAATCATTTGTGATTAGTGATTTTCCTATCCCTGACTGTTAGAAGATATTTGCTGTAAATGTTGTATTGGTCGGTTAGAAGATGTTTTGAAACTCATTAAGAGTTATTATTAAATTAAACAATTCAAAATAAAGTCAGGTAACAAAAACACTTCCCCTTTGTTTTCACACACTAGAAGCATATAATAGGTACTACTAACTGTACAAATATTTCACTAGAATATTTAAAAGGCAGTAAAAGGCAAAGGTGCAGATCTAATCTGTGGACAGATAATAGCATTGTACAATAGAGTAAATGAGTAGTCCAACAGACAGTGCTACTGTGAGAACACACTAACCCACCATGAGGCTGGTGCTCCCGAACCCCGGGCTGGAGCAACGGATACCAGATTATGGACAAGTGGAAAAACTGGAACAAGAGGAGCTCCAGGACAGGCCCAAGTGGGACAACAAGGCACAGTACATCCTCACCTGTGTAGGGTTTTGTATAGGATTGGGAAATGTATGGCGCTTCCCCTACCTGTGTCAAAGCCATGGAGGAGGTAAGGGACCACACTGTGGAGGTGGTGATTTAGCTCATTTGTTAGATTCTGAATTAAGCAGACAGGCTAAACCTGCAGAGGACCTACCACACCACCAGAAGGAGCTTGTGTGCCATCAGTGTCTGTGATTCTGTGATATCTGTGAAATAGATAATTCCAAATGATCCAGAGTTATATCCTGTTGTTTATGATGTGTAATGTATGGTGTATTTCTATGGTGTAAGCAAGTCAGTTTTTTAGTCATCTAAAACAAATCAAGTTATAAGCTGGTACTAACTGATTACAAAATATTGTGAGTGACTGTGTTTACTTCATTAAATACTATTCTGTAAAACTGTAACGCACTGTAGAGAAATAATTGAAAAACCACCTAGTTAAAACTGTTAACTAATCAGTTTTTCCTCTCTTTTTCACATAAAACTGTAAAGATTTGCAGTCAACGTGTTCAAGGGATGAGTTGTTAAATACTCACCAATTTAGACAAATGATTAATGAACTGCTCTGATGACTCACTCATTTGTAATCGACAATACACACACACACACACACACACACCAACTCCCAACTCCACAAGACTTTTAAATGTATCCACTTGAACTGACTTTGTGACTTTTATTCTTTAAAGCTAAAATGTAAAATTGTAACTGGTGGGTCAAGAGGACATAAATGTTTTATAGTAACATTTTTCAGGTGCTTTCTTGATCCCTTATCTAATCTTGCTGTTGCTGGAGGGAACGCCTCTGCTCCTTTTGGAGTTTGCTATTGGTCAGCGTTTGAGGAAAGGCAGTGTGGGTGTGTGGCGTGCCATTAACCCTTATCTGACTGGTCTTGGTGAGTTAAAATATTGAATAAGTTAAAACACTACAATCATGGAGAATAGTGACAATATAGTCTCTATATATAAACCTATGCTGTATCTGTTTTAGGTATCTCCTCTATGTTAGTGTCCTTCTTGATTGGGCTGTACTACAATACCATAACAGCATGGATCTTGTGGTACTTATTTAACTCATTTCAAGAACCCCTTCCCTGGAACCACTGCCCCCTTAATCAGAATAAGACAGGTACAAAACAATGTGTAACATTTCTTAATATGTGAAACCATTACCACATTTTTTTTGCTTTAGGTTATGTAGCTGAATGCCAAGAGAGCTCAACTGTTGATTACTTCTTCTACAGAGTCACACTGAATAGTTCTGCCTCAATAGGTGACTCTGGAGGTATTCACTGGCCAATGGTTGTTAGCCTATTAGCTGCTTGGACAATCATATTTATCTGCTGCAGTAGGGGGATCAGCTCGGCAGGGAAGGTTTGTTGAACTAGAAATAATTTAACCATATTTTTTCAATGTACAATTTACACAAAATATTTGTATTCAGTGTATGTTTAATTCACACAATGCATTTCATGAATATGCGCACATCACAGCACAATGCTTGCTTGGGTTCCAAAATATACACTTCTTCAATACTTTATGAAGATGTGAGTCTGGTCACAGTTAAATTTCACAGTTTTCAGACTGACTTGATTGACAGATAGATTAGCCAATCAGGGACACGAATTGTATGTAAATGTAAATGATATGTGACGCCTTCTTTTCACATGCATCACTGTAAAAAAAAACATGATTGATGATTGCAGCACAATCATGTTTGACAGGGCTTGAGGCATGGGGTGGTGCCTGGACCAGACTTATAGCAATCTGTATATAAAAAATACAGATATCATTCTGGATTTGCCAGGCAAATATAATGCTGGATTATTTTTTACAATTTTGGAAAGAGTATCTGTATCCATTTGATGTCTCATTCTAAGGCTGTGTACGTCACTGCGGTCCTACCTTACTTTGTTCTGGCCATTTTTCTGATCCGGGGACTGACACTTAAAGGTTCTCTAAATGGGGTCAAGTTCCTCTTCACACCAGTCGTGAGTTTCACAAAAACACATTAAGACAACAGTTACAAAAGACAACTGTTATTGACTTAAAACATATCTTGTAGGTTGAGGAGTTAATCAACCCAACCACCTGGCTGGATGCTGGAGCTCAGGTGTTCTTCTCTTTTGGATTAGCATGGGGAGGGCTGATTTCTTTCTCAAGCTACAACCCCCTTCAGTAAGAACTCAAGTCACTGTTAGGACACCCACTTCTCTGAGCATTTAGTTTTTTATTTCATATTTTCAGCAACAATTGCAAAAATGATGCCATCATTTTGTCAGTTGTTACTGCTGCAACATCAGTCTATGCAGCCATGGTAACCTACACCATCATAGGATTCAGAGCTACAGAAAAATATGATCAATGCATCAGCGAGTAAGTACCAGTAAATTAGTAGTATGAGCACTTTATCTCTTTTCTGTTAAAATTTTCTAACTGCTATAAGACATGGCATTGGTGAATTTCTTTGCTGGGTGCCATATAGGTATGTTCACTTGTGTAACATATTTCTTCTTGTCATCTTTTTCTCACAGTAACATCATGGCATTACTGAATGCTTTTGATTTAGGTGAAAATGACATTACACCTGATAATTATGAGGAAGCATTTAAACATTATAATAGCACATCTCCAGACACAATTATGGCACTGGATATTGCCTCCTGTGATATGCAGACATTTCTTAGTGAGGTATTTGTACAATATTTTAATGTTTTTGGAGTACTATTTGAGTCATAAATAAACTATTCCATTCATATTTTTTTAGGGAGTGGAGGGGCCTGGCCTTGCTTTCATTGTCTTCACGGAGGCCATTATCAATATGCCTGCTTCTCCAGCTTGGTCCATACTATTTTTCATCATGCTACTCTGTTTGGGTCTCTCAACTCTCATTGGTACCTTTGAGGGAGTGATTGTTCCATTAAAAGACCTACATGTATTCCCTAAAACCTGGCCCCAAGAAGTAGTAACTGGTAATTCTGTCTCCTTTTAAGCATTTATTCCAATTTTACATAAATGAATGTAATCAATTAATACATCATGTCTTTTAGGTATAACATTTCTTATTGCTTTCACCATTACCTTGCTGTTTGCCCAACACTCTGGGTTTTATTGGGTAACTCTCTTTGATAACTTTGCGGGATCAGTTCCTCTTCTTTGCATTGGCTTTTTTGAAATCGTAATAGTGGTTTACATTTACGGTGTTGACAGGTAGGTACAAGCAATTATAATACTTATACCTGAATAAAAGTCTACACTAAAACTTCTCACAGGTTCAATGAAGATATCAAGTTCATGATTGGTAATAAACCTGGCTTATTCTGGCAAGTCACATGGAGGTTCATTAGCCCACTCATTATATTGGTCATTTTAATTTTCTATCTGATAACCCAAGCACAAGAGGAACTGACCTATTTAGTGTGGGACCCCAGTTCTGTAAGATAAAACATCTATAACATTCAGTATGCACATTTTTAAAAACAATTACTCACTTTATCTTGATTTTTTTTTCTCAGGAGACTTTCCCTTCTCTGACACCAGTCCCTTATCCAGAATGGATTTATGCTGTGATCTTTCTATTGGCTGGAGTCCCCAGTTTGGCACTGCCCTTTTATGCTTTGTGCAGGATGATCTACATCAGATGCAAAAAAAAATAAAGACACACAAAAGAATTAAGACAGACATTGGGTAAACATCCAAAATACTGTATGTATAATATGAAAAAGTATCTATCTATCTATCTATCTATCTATCTATCTATCTATCTATCTATCTATCTATCTATCTATCTATCTATCTATCTATCTATCTATCTATCTATCTATCTATCTATCTATCTATCTATCTATCTATCTATCTATCTATCTATCTATCTATCTATCTATCTATCTATATATACTATATATATATATATATATATATATATATATATATATATATATATATATATATATATATAGCTATGGAACTTCATATAAAAACAATAACACAACAAAAACACAATATTAGGATTATTTGTGTCTCTTCTGTTACATTTAAATGGAAACAAATAAAGGACAGTACATGTGATCAACCACTAGATGTCACTCCTGGATTCTATTATGAAGCAACAACAAGACACTGAGAGGCTTTTGGCATCCTGGGTTGTTACTTAATTAAATGTTTGAATTTTACCTAGTTGTATTTCAAATTACTAAAGTAAAAGCACTTTGTGATTGTAATCTGTAGGGCTGACCTCCTAATCAATAAGGTCTCCCATCTACCACAATTCATTTCACAATTCAAAAACAAAATATTTTGTATTTACTATACTGTACCACCACTTAAAGGCACATTCCCAAATCACATATTCATATAACTGTAGAAAAGGTCTTTAGGGGAAATTGTGAAAATTTACAGTGGGTAATGATTAATCATAATGAATAAAAAAACAAATGTGTATGAGACCATGACCTCTTGATCCTCAGACTAATATCTTCACTTTGCTTTGCATCATTGCAGCATACAGCGGAACATGAAAATCACAGTTTCACATAACCATTTTATTATCTGCATTTTATGTTAGCATTATTAAATTGTAAATTTTATTTTTATTGATTTAGCAATGTGCAGCTGCAAACAGCTTTTGTTTGTAAGTGTGAAATAAGGTGGATTGGATTAGTCATCTGCTCCACAGCTAAATACAAGTATAACACATTATTTCACAGTGATAAAGATTTGAACAGACTGAACAGTGATTAAAACATTCATGAATGTAATGCTAGCACCATCATAAACTGCTCATGCAACATAACAACATAGATCAAGTAGTGACGCATTGGGCACACCCATTTTTCCAATCTTCCCATTATGATATAGGTGTATAGCAGTCATTTGTGCATATGTCCACTAGCTGATCAGTGAGCTTCATCAGATAAAGACAAAAGGTTATAAACCTTATTCACAGCTGCTGTGACGTGTCTTTGCCTTTGAGGAAAACATCAAGGATTTGTCTGCAGGACTCCCAGTGCTGGATTCTGCTTCAGTGTATCCACACTGAAGATGCTGCTCCCAAACCCTGGACTGGACAAGCGGATCCACACATATGAGGACCTGGAGAGGATGGACAAAGAGGTATTAACCTGTGTGGGCTTTTGCATTGGGATTGGCAATGTGTGGCGTTTCCCCTACCTGTGCCAGTGGTACAGTAAACATCAGTTGGATTAATAATGATGATTATTAAAATGTTGTAGTAATTTGCAACAAATAGATATCCAGTATAAATGTGTAAAAAATAGGTAACCTGACTCTATGAAGAGGCCCTCAGTTAACTATATATTTTACTCTAAATGCTCTAAAATAGAAATTATCCTTTGCCTAATCAACAAAACAATCTATACTACTACTTCTATGTAAACATATGTATTAACTGCCTAGTTATTATGTTTATCATGTGAACTTAGTCACTTAGTCTTAATCACTGCCTCAAACACAGCTGATTATGTTTTACAAAACAAAATATATATTGCCTTTGAAATATTTGGTCATTTGGTGCAATGTGCCTTATTTAATAAATATATGTTCTGACCATCTTTCCGGGTAGTGAGGTAACCCATAAAGGTGCTCTGACTAGAGTGAAGTTTCTTTTTGCACCAGCTGTGAGTCTCCATAGCAGAAATAATTAAAACAACATATTGATAATGGTACTAAATACTTTACAAGATGGGCTTGTAATGGCTCTTTTAACCAGAACTTTGAACTGAGACTCAGTTTGTAGGTTGAGGAGTTGACCAAGCCAATCACCTATATCACTCTATTCTTTAGAGATAGGAATGGGAAGACTCATTTCTTTCTCAAGCTACAACCTACGATAATGGAGAACTAACTTTGTGTTGAAAAATACATTAAAGAAAATAAAAAATTGTTTTCCTTCTATTGCAGAAACAACTGTAGGAATTATGCTTTATTCCTGTCAGTTGTTAGTGCAGGAACTGCAGTGTATGTAGCTACTGTGATTTAAACCATCATTGGCTTCAGAGCTACAAAAAAAAAAAAATTGAAACGTATAAATGAGTAAGTGGTATTCTTAATCATTAGCTATGCTTACTACGCACAGTGATAACACAAAAGAAGTAATGAACTGTTACATAACTATGAAGAATGTGAGCATATCTCACATCACAAAGGTAGGACTACAAAAAGGTTACTGATTTTAAACTGCATATCTGTTCTTGTCATAGTAACATGAGAATTTTAATAAACGCATTTGACTTTACTGAGAATTTCACATCAGACAATTACGAGGAGACCTTAAATATTCTGAACTGATCCTACTACTGCTGGGACTGGACATAATTTCCTGTAACATGCAGATATTTGATAAAGAGGTAATTTTTCTGTAAGGGTGTGAAAAAATACTTTGTGATGAATTGGTGAATTACTGTATGTAATACAGGTGTAAAATAAATCAATCACAGCAATGAGTTAAACTTTATAATAAGGGCATCGTAATTATTCTTATTAAAAAAGTATAAAGAGCGACATAATTCAATATGAACTAATAAATTAATTTATAGTCTGTTAATAATCATCCAGTCTTGGTGCCTATCTTATTAGGGGTTAGGAGTTAAGACTGGCCTATTAATTAATTAATAACTGTATATAGCTGAGATATATTTTCATTATTGTAATTCCATATTTTATTTTTACTAGTACATATATGTTTGTATAATTACGCCTTATTTGACACCAATCTCTTATTACTCATCACTTATTTTGACATTATTATTACAAATTATATTTTTGCTCTTCGTTATTATATTGTATTGTAATGTGTGAGCTACTGTGTCCAAATAATTTCCCTTGTAGATAAATAAAGTTTGTCTGAGTCCAAGTCTAACTAAGCCTGAATAATCTTTAATAAACTATTTGTTCATTATGAAGTAAGTTTTTCTTTGTGTTTTATTAAGGCTAATTAGGAGTAGTTATTACAAAATGTAATCAAGAAATGACAAATGTTATGGGGTGATAATTTTGTTGATATTGGAATAATAAAAGAGACAATACAATTGTTAGTACAATTTGGCATAGGGTATTTGATTAGGAATATGATGATAATATTACTACAATAACCTAAATGGTTAGCCATATTATTCTGTATATAAATATTCTTGATTCTAGATTAACAATTAGTTAATAATGTTTATATATTTTCTAGGGTGTGATGGGACCAGGCCTTGCTTTCACTGTCTTTTTAAACATGCCTGTTTCTCCAGCCTGGTCTATATTATTTTTCACCATGCTTCTCTGTTTGCCACTTTTGAAGAAGTGCTTGATCCTTCCAGAGACCTAAACTTGGTTCCTAAAACATGGCCTCAAGGAGCAGTAACTGGTAAAACATAAATCCTTTATTATTTTATGACTATAGCTATATACAATAGCTATAGGCGATCTACATCAGATACAAGAAAAAGAATGACAAACAAAAGAACTGAAAAAAGAAATAAATGTGTAACTGTCATATAAAAAATTAACATAATTATATACATAATTACATAAATAATAAATGCATAATTATGATTTGTTTTTCAGAAATGTTTAAATTGAAACAATCAAGGGTAGTACTTGTGACTAACCACTGGATGTCACATCACACCTGCTTACTTATTGTAAAATCCTTTCACATTGTTTGTAAGATGACAATTATGCAACTTTTACATTTTAAGGATTTAAATGTAAGTTAAAATTCCTTTAAATGTGCAATCTATTCCTATTTTTTACATCTTTGTCTCCATGAAACTGTTTAAGAATAGCCCTCTAATATATTATACAAATTATACATGTTGTATCTGTAGCATTTTTATATTTTTTTGCACTATACATATTTTTATACTATGTGTTTTTCTATGTATTGGTTGTTGGGAATTGTACTAATATCTTGTATCTTGTATTATCTTATCTTAAATAGCTTGTAACTAAAATCTATTCAGCCTACATGTCCCATCGTGCATCAGTGGACTGTCAACAAGCCCACTGTGAACATGTGCCCTACACCTATTACTTTAAATCTGCACTGTGATATCCATCTCGAGTTTGCCCTGATGAAGGCCAAGGGGCCGAAATGCGTTGGCGTGATTTTGACTTTATCTGCCATATGCTATTAAAGGCTTTTAATTACTTTATACTTTTTGAGTGCCTAAATTTTTTGGCACAACAGCACTGACAGAATAAGAACAAGTGTAGCTGAGGAAAAACACAGAGCAGGAAATTGTCCAGCAGAGGGAAACAAAATCCCTCTTCAGAGTAAAGGTAGGGAAGAAAAAAAAAAAAAAAAATATATATATATATATATATATATATATATATATATATATATATATATATATATATATATATATATATATATATATATATATATATATATATATATATAGCATATTTATATATCAATCAATCAATCAATCATTATTATTTATATAAGCGCTTTTCATACAAAAACGTAACACAAAGTGTTATATAGTATATTTGTAGTTTTATTGATTTAATCTTACTAAATGTACATAAATAGCATATATAGCTCCTTCCACTTTGGCATCTGCATTAGTAACAGAACAAGGTCCTGCAGGCTACTGTGTTGTAACATCGCCCCCTTAATTTGCACTTATTCAAGAAATTTATAAAAATATTAAATAAATGCATAAAAAATGAATTAATGCAGACAGACTGTACAGTGTACTGTACAGTTACTTCCTCTGCACATAACTTTTAACTACAGTTTGGAAGATGTTCATCAACACTATAAACTGATGCAGTTTTATAAGGCTCCATTATTAATCAGTAACTAAGTTATTTTGCATTATAACGACAGTCATTAAAGTTATATCATCTCAATAATACATTAAAAAGGGATGTCCTACATTACATTAGCACTTTGCCTCATTATACTAACACAGACAAAACTCTGAAATTGTTATCTTAGTTGTTATCACATCACAGAAGCACATGACTTAAGGTCTCATAGAAATCCTATAGCCTGTGACATAGCTGCTCATTCTGCTCTCACAGACTGGATCACAGATCAGTGGGATCCGTCAGATAAAGACAAAAGGTTATAAACCTTATTCACAGCTGCTGTGACGTATCTTGCCTTCACATCAAGGATTTGTCTGCAGGACTGCCAGTGCTGGGTTCTGCTTCAGTGTATCCACAATGAAGGTGCTGCTACCAAACCCTGGACTGGACAAGCGGATCCACACATATGAGGATCTGGAGAGGATGGACAAAGAGCAGGCTGAGGACCGGCCCAAGTGGGACAATAAGGCTCAGTACATTTTAACCTGTGTGGGATTCTGCATTGGGATTGGCAATGTGTGGCGTTTCCCCTACCTGTGCCAAAGCCATGGAGGAGGTAATATGGTAATTCTTTGGTAAACTACAATACATTTAGGAGATGAAGCTTGAACCAGTGAAAAGCTAAATTTTCAATTGTTCAGGGCCAATATATTCAAAGATTTAGCTATGAGCAGTGCTAAACAACGATTACAGCATCCAAGCTCATTGGAAGAACTCAGTATTCCCTATAAAACATGTGAATGTGCTTTCCCAGTACAGTTTTTTTTTTTTTTTGTAAATTATTTTTTATTGTATTTATTTATTTAACTAGGAAAATCACACAGAGATTTAGAATCTCATTTTCAGAGGAGTCCTGGCCCCAGAGGGATACAATCAATACAACTCATGAAGTGTTATTAATTTGATTAGCTGAAAGACTTCACCATGGCCTTATAATTAGAATAATTTCATGCAGCACCACGATCAAACAATTAACTCTCATGTAAGACTTGCATGACATTGTACACATTTTAGGTGCATTTCTGATTCCATATCTAATCCTGCTGGTACTTGAGGGACTGCCTCTACTTTTTATGGAGTTTGCCATAGGTCAACGCCTGAGAAAAGGTAGTGTTGGAGTGTGGCAAGCCATCAACCCTTATCTGACTGGAATTGGTAAGTTAAGAATAAAAAAGTCCACTAAAGCATCGTCACTGCCACAAACAGCAAAACAAGATAATTCTGTCTTCTAGGGATTGCCTCTATGTTTGTATCCTTGTTAATTGGGCTTTACTACAACACATTAATGGCCTGGATCTTGTGGTACCTTTTTAATTCCTTTCAAAGTCCTCTTCCCTGGACACAGTGCCCTCTCAATGAAAACAAAACAGGTCAGACCAAAACACAATCTATTAATGCAAATTAATGCATCTATTAATATAACATAGAGACAGAAGCAATTAAATGTATAACAAATTTGATTTTCAAAATTAGATTTGGATTATACAAATAATGAGTGTTTGTTGTAGGTTACATAGCTGAATGCCAGCAGAGCTCCACAGTGGATTACTTCTATTACAGAGTCACTCTGAACACTTCCACCTCAATAGAAGACTCTGGGGGTATCCACTGGCCTATAGTAGTTTGCCTGTTAGTAGCCTGGACTGTCATTGGGCTCTGTTACATCAGAGGAATAAGCAGCTCTGGAAAGGTTTGCTTTTATCTGTTTTTGATGAATAAAAATGTTTCCATTTGAAGTAAATTTGAATCATACTGGAATTTTATTTTATGTGACCTCAGGCAGTGTACGTCACAGCAATACTACCTTATATTGTTCTAGCTATCTTCCTGGTTCGTGGGCTGACTCTTAATGGTGCTTTGACTGGAATTAAGTACCTCTTCACACCAGATGCAAGTCTAAACTGTGTTTTTTCATTGAAATCATAACTATAATAGATTAAAACACTGTTAAATGTTATGCAACTAAAATGATCCTTTTTGCAGGTGAATGAGTTAGTCAAACCAACGACATGGCTTGATGCAGGGGCTCAGGTCTTTTATGCCTTCAGCTTGGCCTGGGGTGGACTGATCTCATTCTCAAGCTACAACCCTATACAGTATGAGCCGATCCTTAATGTTGAATAAAATTGTGGCAAGTCATGTTTGAGTTTTATTAATGATGTTACTACTTTTTTGCTTCATAAATCCAGCAACAACTGTAAACAGGATGCCATGATCCTTACTGCCATAACTGGCTGTACTTCAGTCTATGCTGCCATGGTAACCTACACCATTATCGGCTTCAGAGCTACAGAAAAATATGGGCAATGTATCAGTGAGTGAGTACAGTAGACACACATAAAACATCACTGATCTGACAGAAAATGTGTTGGTCTAGATGTAAATAAATACATGCCAAACTACATTTAATTTTCATCTGTTTTTTAGTAATATTCAAACACTTATAAATGCATTTGATCTTCCCGAGAACAATATAACTACAGAAAACTATGAGGAAGCATTTAAGTATTTAAACAGCACATATACAGATATTGTTACGGCACTTGAGATCATCCCCTGCGACATGCAGAGACTTCTCAGCGAGGTATCATTTGTGCTTAGACTTTAATTTAATTAAAGTTTTTATCCAAATTTTAACACATTTTTGTAGGGGGTGGAGGGAACAGGTCTGGCCTTCATTGTTTTCACAGAAGCCATAATCAAGATGCCTGGATCGCCGATCTGGTCTGTCCTTTTCTTCATCATGCTTCTTTGTTTGGGGCTCTCCACACTCATTGGTAACATTGAGGGAGTTGTTGTTCCAATTAGAGATTTAGGAGTATTTCCTAAAACATGGCCCCAGGAAGCACTGAGTGGTAATTAAGGGCAAACAGCAATTCTTAATATACTAAAAACTCCAATTTATGTTGTTGTATGTTTCTGTTTCAGCTGTAACTTGCGGTGTTGCATTTGTTCTCACGCTTCTATTTGCTCAACATTCTGGCTTCTATTGGGTAACACTATTTGACAATTTTGCGGGATCAGTTCCACTTCTGTGTATTGGGTTTTTTGAGATGATAGCGGTTGTTTACATATATGGAATAGAGAGGTTTGTAAGAACAAGAATCAACAATATGTTAAATCTTTTAGGAAAAACTGTATATGTGAATATTTATTTTATAAACGTGATTTCTTGTTGTATTAAATGACAGGTTCAATGAAGACATACAGTTTATGATTGGATCCAAGCCTGGCTTATACTGGCAGGTTACATGGAGATTTACAAGTCCTCTGATTATATTGGTCATTTTAGTTTTCTACCTTGTCATACAAGCCCAAGAGAAGCTTACTTATTTAGTCTGGAATCCCAATTCTGTATGTTAAATTTTTTAATACATTATTTTATGATTTTATGAATTATAAGATACAATAACTATGCACCCTCTTTATGGTCCACAGAAACAATTTCCAGTCCTGGACTCAGTCCCCTACCCATCATGGATAAATGCAGTTATCTTTTTATTGGCAGGAGTCCCAAGTCTAACAATGCCCATGTATGCTTTATGTAGGCTACTCTATGTTAACATAAAGAAGAAAAACATTCCTAAAAATAAAAAGGACAACTTTTTCTAACAATAAGAGATGTCATCAATGTATTCATAGTTACTGTATGTATTTATTAACATCACAAATATTACAAGAACTTATGGGGCAAGAGTTCAATTATAAGCATGCACTAGGGGTCATAGTCAATTTATCTTTCTACTTTGAGTTCAATGATTAATTCATTACCAATGGATATGACTAGGGTTGCATAAAGGTGGAAAGTTTTCTTAAAATACAAAGATAATGATGTATTTGAGAAAATTGTAAAAGTGAATGGTTGAAAAGTATGAAAAAGAACACTTTTACACAGTTTTTTTTTTTTTGTTTTTTTTTTACATCCAATTTAAGTTACCTTAATTTTAATATATAATCCAAATGCTTCAAAAGGTGCCATGGTCAATTACCTTATAAAATTATGTGTTTTTGCAGTTAAACCATTACACTCATGATGACACAAATGTCCTTTTTACAGGCTGTATTTGAGTCAGTCTGAGATTGAAACATCAACAGGTAGCTGGTTATCCATTAATCTGCAGCTTCCACACATATTTTTGTCAAAGAGAGGGTTGGCCAGTAAATGTTTCTCTGTGTTTTTACTTCCTTCTGTATTCCCTGCTTTCTGCATCCCTCACTCAACGCTCCAGCTGATTGGGGCATAAAAGGACAACCCACAGAGCACACATAAAACAGAGGACACACAGGAGTGCTGTGCATCACTGAGTGGAAACAAGTTAAATGTGTTCATCACACGTCAAAGGACACTACAAAAACATTGGATCTTACTGGAAGAACTGGTACTCCAAAAATGGACAAAACCAAGGAATCTGACAAGGAAGATAGACCACAATGGGATAACAAGATACAGTACCTGCTCACCTGCATTGGATTTGCAGTGGGAGTGGGAAATGTTTGGCGATTTCCATATCTTTGCCAAATATATGGAGGGGGTAAGAAAGCTTATTGCCATTGTCATAACTTGAGTGACTTTCTGCGAGTAAAATAAATGATAAAATCACAATGGTCACCAAATGTAATTACAGCACCAGATAATTTCTTTATTTTTTATTTTTTCATTTATAGAGGGAAAACACTTATCAAAAATATGTATGTAAATGAGTGAGCAGTGCATGGATAATAAGCACTATTAAAATTCAATTTCAAGTAAAATGCATTGTTCTACATTATGTAGCCAGCTATTCCCAATCAATTTTTTTGTTTGTATTTGCAAAATTTGCCAAGCATAATCGACACAGATGTTTTCTAGTTATATGGATTAGAAAAAGGCAAAATAATGCATCTGTTGACTTCCTCATACTCTAAACCCTGGGTCATCATTAAGCAAAAAAACAGTGTTGTTAATACGGTGTATATATTCAGCTTTGCATACATGTAGAAATAAGCATTTATCAGCATGGCGTGACTTCAAAGAAGAGTCCCTGCGGATTCTTGTTTTATGAACTTTTAAATCACCCTGGTTATTCACTCTAATAACAGGCATTTTGGAGAGAAATACTTGTGCGTGCTGTGTTCAGGTGCCTTCCTTATCCCGTACCTGATAGCGCTGGTGTTTGAAGGCCTCCCGCTGCTCTATCTGGAGATGGCGATAGGACAAAGAATGCGCTTGGGGAGCACTGGAGTCTGGTACTCAATCTCACCGCTTCTGGGAGGGGTTGGTGGGTAACCCCTAAAGTGTATTATCAAAAAATTACTGAACAGATACAATGTTTTAATAAACATTGGATGCTTTGGACTTTTTACGTACAGGCATTGGATCACTGATTGTTTCATTCCTGGTATCCCTTTTCTACAACACTCTTCTAGCCTGGGTTCTTTGGTACTTCTTTCACTCTTTTCAAGATCCCCTGCCATGGAGCACATGTCCACTAAATGCAAACCGCACAGGTAATTTTTTGGAAACAATTTAACAGAGAAATCTAAAATTACATGATAACAATCTGATGTATTTTTGATAAGTCTTATAATACCCTATTTCCTTTGACTTGTACAACCACATTTCCTTCCAGGTTTTAATGAGGAGTGTGAGAAAAGCACTCCAGTAAATTACTTCTGGTACCGTGAGACGTTGAACATTACTACAGACATTGAAAGCAGTGGCACCATACAATGGACGATGGTACTGTGCCTGGCCAGTGCTTGGTGCATTGTGTACATCTGCTTCATCAAAGGGATCCAGTCAATGGGCAAGGTCTGGAAACATAGGACAATCAGCCATAATTATTGTTAAAATACATCATATTCAATATCTTTTCAGGCTGTGTATGTGACGGCAACATTTCCATACCTAGTCCTGACAATATTTCTAGTACGGGCCATTACTTTACCGGGAGCAGTGGATGGAATAAAGTATCTCTTCACCCCAGAGGTCAGCCACGTTTAACTGCAGCTTTCACAATAAACCTCTAACTCTGTAAAATGAGACAGGTTTTCTTTGATAGTGGGAGATTCTGAAGAACCCTCGGGTGTGGCTTGATGCTGCCACTCAGATCTTCTTTTCTCTATCCGTGGCCTTTGGTGGACTCATTGCTTTTTCTAGCTATGCAGATGAAAAGTAAGCACATGTTCAGTACAGTGTATTATTGTATACTGTACATTTAGTAGCAATCTTTTTTTTCTTTTCTTTTTTAGATATTATTTCAGAAAATTGGGGAAAAAAACACATTTCTCTAGCAATGTCTTGATAAAGATCAACTGACATGTGTGGCCAATAAATTGACAATTTATATGCAATATAGGCATATTATGCTTACAACTATTTCAGCATGTACTCATTAATAAACACATTTCTTAAACTGCAAAACAACTGTATTGTAAACTGTAATATTCCTGAAAGAATGGCTGACTAAAATATATTTTTCTAAAAGAAACAATTGCGAAAGGGATGCTCTTGTGGTTGGCATAATCAACAGTGCCACTTCTCTCTATGCCTCCATACCAATCTTCTCAATCTTGGGATTCAAAGCTACAAGTGCTTTGTACAACTGTCAAGAAGAGTATGTATGGACATATTGTCAACATTTATTTGGTTATTGTTAATCATTTAATGTTCTGACTTTGCTTTTATTCTGCAGCAACATCATGATCCTTACCAACCGCTTTGATATTTCTGACCAAAACATCACCCGTGATAACTATGACAATTGGTTCAACCATTTAAACAGCACATATCCAGATGCAATCGCTGCTTTAAATCTTCAAACATGTAATCTACAGACATTTCTTGAACAGGTACAGTTACTTTAAAAGAAGCTGCAGATATTTCCATTTCTTATTTAAATTTTTACTTGAAGTCCAAATTCTGTTCTTGCCTCCCTGTTCTCTTCATGAGTACATTTTATCCTGTACAGCGCACATGGTGTAACTGAAGTGAATTTCTCCCTTTTGTCTAGAGTGCCTCTGGGACTGGTTTGGCATTCATTGTGTTTACTGAAGCAGTGATTGAGATGCCAGGTTCACAGATATGGGCAATCCTATTTTTTATCATGCTCCTTAGCCTGGGTCTCTCCTCAATGTTCGGTAATGTACAGGGAGTCCTTACACCCATCTATGACCTCAAAATATTGCCAAAGTGGATCCCAGAAGTACTTTTAACAGGTTGAAAACATTTTTGTTTCATTGTCTTCAAGCACAGCAGAAGTTAATAAATAAAAATAAAAATTTTTTTTTTTACAAATGTTTTCCAGGAATTATATGCATAATCAGCTTTCTGGCGGCACTTATATTTACGCTGGGTTCTGGGAATTACTGGTTGGAGGTTTTTAACGCCTATGTGGGCTCAATACCTCTACTTATAATAGCATTCTTTGAGATTGTTGGAGTCATCTATGTACGTGGGATGAAAAGGTAGCCATCATCATGCTGATTGAATGAAAATATGAAAGGACAAAGGATGGTGAGAACTTATGGCTATTTTCTTCAAGGTTTAGTGACGATATCTTGTTCATGACTGGGAAAAAACCCAACATTTTCTGGAAGGTGTGCTGGATGGTGATCAGTCCATTAATGCTTTTTGCTGTGCTAATTGCCTATGTGGCCTTACATGCACAAACACGCCCAACCTATCCCACATGGAACCCATCATATGTAAGTAACAGCAGTATCTGGGATTTACACTGAAATGTTTTGAAAGCTGAAAAGGATGATAATTGACCAAATACATTTGCCATCATATTTATTTCCCTTTTTTTCAGGAATTGTTTCCTAAAACCAAAATCCTGCAGTATCCTGACTGGGTCTTTGCCATAATCATCCTCCTGTGTGTGGTACCCATCATTTCCATTCCCATAGTGGCTCTAAATGGACTAATCCGTGGTAGACTGAGGAGGTCCTCCACCAGGGCTGAGCTCAGTGCCTATAGCAATGCTGGCTTTGATGCAAATTACAGACCAACCAAGACATAAAGCACGTATACGCTATTATGTTGTGTCAATGGACAGACCTTCCTGAGTGCTTATTTCTACAAATACACTACATACTGCATTATTAACCTGGTCTATTCAGTGACCATAAAGAGTACAACAAATGTTCTTACAAAAATTTTATTACAAGTCATGTTATTTGATCAATTATCTTTTTTATGTAGATTCAGGTGCTGATGGAATTTGTAGGAGTTTGCGAGATCTAAACATTGTTTATTAGGAATAAAAACATGCTTTATGTTGGTTCCCCTTGCAAATATTAAGGGATCAAATGAAAACAGGTTTAACATGTTGACATGTCACAGATGACAAGCTCACAAGGACAACAGTGCAAAGCAACAGGTTAAGTGCCTGTGTGGAAAAGTACCACAACCATTGTAATTCAAAGATGTGGCCAAGGTCATCCTTTTGTAAGGTGTGTTTACAACCAAGGTTTATCACTTAAGTGGTTTATGTCAGGGCCCTGAATGTTTGTTAGACTTTGCTGCACTTCACCATTTGTTTGGTATAAATCACATATTAAGACTGTCTGTGCTTTTAACACAATATCTGTAAAAAAGTAAAATTCTGGTGATCAATTTATGTAGTTATTATGGTCCAAAGTGGAAAAACAATTACTTTGGGGGAGTGAGCATTTAATATTCCCCTCAAAAATATATCTGGACTTCAAAATACCTCTAAATCCGAACACCAAAAAAATCTTCAGGAATCCCACCACCTACAGCTTGTCTGACTCTGGCAACTCTTAGATCGCCAAGGCGTTGCTGCAGACTGCGTTTTCCTTTCAAAAGAGTATAAAGAAAAAAATCAAGACAAGAAAATGTCATGTCCTCTCAGTCACAGTGTTAATGTTGACCTACGATGTTGGAGTGGAGGAAGGACAGCTTTGTACAGCCAACGGTGTTGAGACAGGACAAGCAGAAAGCAAAGGCAGAAAATCAACTCCACTGCTTCATATTGAATGATGCCTGTTTGTGCTTTAGTGCCCAAAGTCTGGCCTGTATAAAAAGTGACAACAGTAAAATCCAGGAAAAGGTATACAATCCAGGTTATATGTATTTGTCACAATTGTTATTTTATTTTGCCTTTGTTGCTTTTCCTAATGAGCTGATTTGCATATTCTGCCATGTCCCAGATCATTTGCAAGAAGTAGTTGGGGTTCTTGGCAACCGTTTGACCAAAGGGCAAACTCTGGGCGCATACGTGGAACCTAAAGGAAAATGTGTGACAAGAACATTTTCAACATATTACTGAGATTACTGCTGCTGCTGAATTATTTACATTTAGATAAAAGGCGGCAATGACATTGTATCTCATGCTGACATTGATTGAACACTATAGACCAGCCTTTTTATGGGGGTGTTATCTTTAGTGACCCATTTATTAAGAAATGTCAAACACATCTGTTATATATTTGATAACACACTTAAATATAATTAAATAAATAGTACCTATTATTGAACATATTTGAAATAAATCAGATAAGTGTTTACCTGCATGCATGAAGGAGGACCAGCTTGTAGATGTTCTGATAGACTGCCTCAACAGAATTTGTCTGTAAAGAATACAAATTCTATTACATTTTATTCCAAATATTGTGTGAATGAAAGCTAGTGATTATTTCATGTTCAATAAAATGTCAAGAGTGAAAACTGAAAATAAATAATAAAAAAAAATGGCATATAAAAGGATACTGTAAAAGTGATTGGGCAAAATGTCTCTACAACTACTATTTGGCCAAATTTGTCCAGAAAATGTGTCCTGTTCATGTGCTTTTTTTCTGTATGTAGTTTTGATCATTGTTGGTTACTATTTGGGTATCAATATTTTTGACCTCCCTAGCACATACACATATATATGCAGTAACAGTTCAAAGTATAGTTTATACTAAAACCTTTAGGTCTAAAAACAGAGCATGACACTTCAGTCGGAGTATCCCCATCAGCTTCCTCTTCATTTGTTGTCCTGCTGAATGGAAAAAGCCCAAAGTGAGGCTGTAACGCAGTGATAGACCTGCATAGCTGTTAAAGAAAAAAGATCAATGTCATTACTAAAGGATGGAAATTAAGTAAACACATGCCTTTAGACCCAAGTTTAAATTTTAACAAAAATGAAAGCATTTTAATCATTCAATCACTTTTCCAGGAATGGGGTTATTTATTAAGTTTTACAAATGTTTATGTGAAAGTTCAAAGTATCAAAATGGTTTTAGTCACTTTATATAGATCTATAAAGTCTGCTACACTTCTCAGGAAAGACTATCTAAGGTAAAAGGTTTTGTAACCACCTGGAGTAATCCTTGTAGACATCCAGGGAGCATGTGTCCAGCAGCAGACCACACCAGGGGAACATGCAACGAGGGGGCAGAACGCGGATTTCAGGACAAATGGCTGCAGTTTCTGAAACCTTGAAGTTGACTACCACTTTCTGTGGGTTGATGACCAGACCATACTGTGGCACTCCAGGCAGCAAAAGTCCTTTAAACATCATGTTTTATCAATGTTTTGGGAGTTTTTTACTTCTTAGAACTTAGAAAATACATTTTGACTCTTACTTCAGAAATGCTTGTGCTTCATGTAGGTCTGGCGTGATGAGAAGAAAATCATCCACAAATCTCAGTAAACATCTATCAGAGAAAAACATATTGCAATGACGAAATACTGCACTCTGCTGTTGGCAATAAGGTTTTACAGTTATGGTTCCACTTGTACCCTTTGGTTTTGCCTTTATTATCAAACAGAATGTTCTCCATATGACCATAGCACAGACAACATAGTAGACTAGAGGCAACAGACCCTTGGGGAACTCCTCTGCACTGGCGGTATGTTCTGCAGGAGTAAAAAGTAATTACTTGATTGTAAAAAGTAAAAGTATTATATAGTATATAATAAGTATTATAAAGTATACTCACTTTTTGCCAAGGTGAACAATGGTTCCAGTAAGCATTTGAGTAAAAAACTGTAATGCATCCTTGCCATGAAGATCTGAGGAGAAGTGCTGAAAGAAAATAAATAGTTTTTGAAAATGAGAAATTTTAAAGTAGTTAAAAATACACTAAATTAAAAAAAAAATTGTATCTATGCCTCAGTTGAAATGTATATGATCATGAGTATTAATAATAATTTAAAATACACTACATTAAATAAAAAAAACAATCTTATCTAACCTAACAGGAATTAAAATGCTTAAAATTATTACCTGCTCTACCAGTATGGAATGATGAATGTTTCCTGACATTTGCAGAGAGGACACAAAGCTCTTCATATTGCTAGAGCCCATGTTATCATCAAGCAAAAATGCCTATTATTTGGAATAACAAGAAATCATAAAATAATGCAAATGCTTATGTGTAAATAGTACTGTAGTACTACAATACCTGTCTCACAAATGTTTTTTTCAGACCCTCATGTGCATCAGACCAGACCTTGGCATAGCGTCGTAAGGTGAATATTTCATCCAGAAAAGGTGTCAGGACCTGAGTAATGACCTCAATGAGTTTATCATGTGGCAGGCTGTCATAAGCTCCACTCACATCCACCTGACAATGGGACCATGGCAGTGATTATAAAGAGTTTTATATGGATATATATGGACATAGGTCAGTAGGATAGGTACAAATTGCTATCAGACCTTAGCAAAGTACAGTGGTTGTGTTTTTTCTTTTTGTTGTGATGCCAGAGAAGTTATTCGTTTGTGGATGTCAGTCATATCCCAAACTGTGGAGCCCAGTATGGATGGATAGGCGCGCACACAAGCCCGCAACATATCCAAGAGGTCACGGACATGGCCTCTGTACAGCTGAAGAGAAAAGTATCCCTTATTAATATGGATGCATCACAAATGTAATAAAGGGGTAGTACAACTAATACAGGGCTGGTACTCTTGTTTTGACGTCAGCTCCAATGACCCTTGTGATTGGCCTCATTCCCTCATTCTTGGGAATGAAGCGGAGTCTGGAAATGACTGTGGATTTGGGCAGTAAGGCCACCTGAGCAGCGGTCAACTCAGTCATCTGACCTTTTGAGAGATGGCCTCTTAATCACGACATAAAAACATAATGAAACATAAACCATATATACCAAACAATGGTTTTGATTTTGATTATCTTACCTGCAAGCCAAGTCCTGCAGTTTGGCCCAGATTTCCTGTCTGTAGAATCTCAATGCATTCTTTAGTCCCACACTCTCAGTGACATAAAAACAGGCTCTGACAAGACCCACCACATATCCGTCTAAAAGCCATGCCAGGAACTGACCCAAAATCTGTGTTCGATATGCAAGCTCACTTGGAGGGACACGACCTATAGATAAAAACTTTAATTACTGGAATTTCAATAAAACAATGTTATAAATGAACTATCTTACCAGTTTTGCTTATCTTTACCCACTCACAGTCATTCACTTTAATTTTCCACAGCAGGTCAGCAAGTGAGAGCTTGTCAAACTTCCCACCTGACAGGAAACCTCTGGCACGGGCCAGAAAATTAACTCTGTTTTGGTCCGAGCCCCACAAGTGCTGAGGGATGACAGCTGTGAGGCACTCCCTGACAAACAGGTAGACCCGATGAGCTGCACAATGCTGGGACAGGAGAGAGCTGAGCTCCCCTTGCCTGGGATCTGCCTGTTGTAGAGAGGGACACAGCTTCTGCAAAATGCGCCCGTATGGAAACCTTCTGTGATGCCTCAACAGCTGATTAAACACTGGCACCATGTTGAAAAATCTTTGAGGTAGTTTCTTAGTTTTTTTTTTAACTCCATTTAAATAACCGAGACCTTCAAAGAAGATGATTCGAATCAAATCTTTCCCTTGTAAGCGTTTAATCCCCTCTGCATCTTTCTTCTTTCTGTTGAGGAGGAAGCCACGCATGCCACTGCCTCCATAGAGAAATCCTAAAGTGCGGAAGAAACAGTGTGATGGAGGCAAAGGGGGGTAGGTACCTGATCTCCAACTTGGCCCCCCTTCCTCCTTTAAACCAGTTCCGGTGCTGTTTTCCAAAGATTTTGTAAATTGCGTTGAATCAAGGAACATGGGCTCATCTTCTGCTATGTTTTGATTGCCAACAAGTTGTCTTTTAGCAGGTTTCTGTACATCTTCATCATCATACCCATTCATTTCTCTTTTTCTTTTTCTTTCCTGGTTTCCATGATCCATTTTACTTTTGCACAATTTATGACATGTTTTGATAGTGATTTTTGCTCGTCTGGCCTTTCTGGCATTGTGTTGGGATTGAAAAGTTATTCCTGTAACAGTGGAAGCCATGGAAATGCGGTCATAAATTGGCAAACCACACACCTGGAAAAGACAAGATGGAGGAACTGCCACAAACAGAGAACAGTTTTCCAGAAGGTAGCGTGTAATGTCAGTGCCAAGGCGTTGGGTGACTTTCTTCCACAGGTCACTGCCATGGATGTAGGCGGCACTTTGAGTAACGTCTCCTTGGAATTTAAACACGTCTGCGTTCCTCTGCTGTTCATTATGAGGCAGGAAGTTGTAGCCATGTATTAAGACATTCTTTCTCTTCTTTCGCTTCAGATTGTTAAGCACAAAGGCCAACAGATCAGGCAGGGTGCATATCTGTGAATTGTATAAAAATATAAGACAGTGACACACTACAGGATAAACTTATACTAACATCATTATACACTAATACATACATTTGGCTTTACTCATGATTCACTGGATCTATTAATTTAATCAACAGGAGTTCTCCAAAGTCCAAACTGCAGAATACTTAAAATATGGTTTTGGTAAATGCATTTATCAGGTCAGCGAGCATGCAGTAGGTTATAGCTATTGTGATTAGATTATTATGATTAGGATTTAATTTTATTTATTTATTGTAAACACCTACATTGTGGTGCTGTTTTATCTAGTCACACAAAATAATTTCTAACCCCCATTAGAAACCCAGTCATTTGAGTCAACAGGTTTTTAGCTCTAACGGTAAAATGGGTAAATCTTTTTCAGAAAGCACTTACTTGTACCATATTTACCGATTTAAAAATAAAATAAAACGTGTACCTGGGTATTACTTGGCACTTGCTGCAGCTCCTTGTCGGAGCAGACATAAATGCCTCGGACGAATGATGAGAATCGTGTGGTGTCAGACTGTTCAATGACCCGTGGTTTCTGCCCCTCTTTGAACACGATGCCATCTGCAAAACCCTCTAGCGTCTCCACTTTACGATAAACTGAGTGCAAGATCTTCAGCACACAGGATAAGTCAGTAGAAGTCATGCCAACAAAAATTAACAGCGTTTGCTGCTGCTACACACCGACAATGCGGTAGTCAATTTTAGCGCCACACAGCACCAATAGAAAGAAGGCTATTAGAAACACCCAATCAGATTACGCAATACTCAAGCATGCTTGATCACGGACCAATAGAGACTAGAGCATCTATGTTGTCCTTCCTTTGCAATTTACTATGGCTTGTACTTTATTATTGTCCGTGAATGGACGCAGTTGAAGAAAAACAAACAAAAAATGCTTTCTCTTTACAGATATTGAGCGTTGAGGAGCATCAAGCTCACTGTTAAGTAGGGCATTTTATGGTTATCATTAGATAATAAGAACAGTATTGCAGTATCCATCTTGGAACCAGTCCTTCCTTATTGCATCCTTATTTTTGATACTTTATCTTATACCTTATAACACATGTGGACTAGCGACAATATGGTAGTTATAGGCCTATAGTCCCTTGAGCTTTCTAACCCAGTAATGATTTTATTATGATGGTCATCTAATCACAGTAGCTTAAGTTCTGCTTATTAAGGCATAATACATACAACAACATCACACTTTCCATGTCAATATAAAGGTTTATTTAGAAACAAAACTGGGTATAAATAAAGTGCATTGATTTTTCACACCGTAATAGGCTAGTTCAACAAGCTACATCAAGGATCAATATTTGTTATCTCGTTGTCGGTGGTGACATGATCTTCAATAGCAGACCTGAAAGGAGAATGTTTTGCTTATCTTTAATTAAATGTCTACTTTAAACATAACATGCTATATTGTTTGATAACCCGCCTGTATGCTGCCAGCTGTTTGTTGAGTCTTTCTTTTAGTTCCTTCATCTCACTGTTTTTTGTGTTCTGAATTCTCAGCTCCATCTTTAGTTGTCTGCAGCTCTCTTCCAATGAGTTAACCACTTCCTGCAAAACAGATATACTTTTTGTAATTTAACTTTACTTATTAACTACACATTAATTACATCAATATAAGAATTTAAACTAGGAGTTTTATTATAATTTGTGCATCTGACCTTGTATTGTCCCATTTCCTCTTTTCTTTGGAAACTCATCAGCCTGAGTTTTTCTTCTAAACAAACTTTCTGGAGCATCAGTTTCTGTATCTCCTCTCTCAGAGGTGTGAGCTGGACCCTGTGCTCCTGGGCCTGCTCTTTCACCTTTGCAATAGAATCCACAGCTGAGTCTCTCCTCTTCAAAAGTGCCACCAGAACAGGCCCATACCTATAAATGGAAACAAATGTGAAAAATACTATGTCATATTTACCTATGTTGTTTCCTACACAGTTGCCTACATACTGTCTGTCTGCTGTCCCCAGTGAGACAGCCATCTAGATGGTGCATCACACTGACCGTTCTTCCAGTGCCTTGAGGCTGTCCTGCAGATATTGTTGTACATCACCGCAGGAGTTCCTCCTGGACTGGCTCATCTCTTCTTGAGTGTTACTTAAATGGCTGGAAGTGACAAGATCAAGCATTTTTTGAAGGTTCAAAAGCTGGTTTTGATGTTCTTGTATCAGCTTGTTTCTGTCTTCCCTCAGCTGGACTTCTGCAGTTTGTAGGTTCTCCTAAAACATATAAAATACATTTTATATATATATATTTTTTCTGTAACAAAAATGTAATTTCTTCCTTCAGAGTATACCTCTTCTTTCTTAAGTAGTTCCACATGTTGTTGTTGTGACCTTAGTGCTGCCTGGTTCTGGGCACACTCCTTGGCAACAACAAAGAGATTCCTTTTTAGCCTCCATTGTTCGTTGTGTAGTGTCTGTCTCTCTACATTGACACGGCACAGTTTTCTCTCTTCTTCTGCCCGTTCATGCCTTAAGTTTTCAATTTCCCTCTTGCTTTTTTTCATTTTTGGAGTTGTTCTGCCTCTTTTAGTCTCAAAATCAGTTCTGCCACTTTGCCTTGGCCTTGTTCCTCGTCCTCCTCATTTAGTTCTGTTGTTTGCTCCTGTTGGCTGTACCCACATAGTTTCATCACCTCAGTCTGCAGCTCCCTCCTTTTCTGTACTAGACTTTGGACTTCATCTATGAACTCATCCAGTTTAGGCCCCAGAGACTGTAATTCAGACACACCATCACTTAAACGTGCCATGTCAATTGTAGAGTCATTAAGGTCACTGTTGCCAGCATCCTTTAATTTGCATTCATCTTCAGTGTGTGTCACCTGACACATGATTTGCTTAGGCTTTGTCCACAAAGAAGGGTTAAGGGCAACTTCACTGTTATGATCTTTACTGCATTCATCTGAGCTTTGCACTGTCAGACTTTTGGCATTGTCGCTGTTGTAAATATTGTGTGTTAGTGCTCTTGCAGCTCTCTTCCTGGATTGAATCTCATTTGTGCTGTCTTGATGATCACAGAAGTTGATTGCTGCATGGGCCTCCAGTATCATGGATTTATTTGATTCCAGTGACGTCTTTCCTGTTTCCTTAAAGAGTTTAGGGATGTGTACATACTCCTCATTGGGACTCCAGTCCTGTGGTCTATAATCCATGCTGTTGTCATCCTCACAGCTCTCCAACATGGCTAACATGTCCATGAGTTGTCCTTCATATTCAGCCATGCTCTCACTGAGTTTGTTACCTGCAGATGTCAAGGGCATTGCAGAGGAAACACATGTTTCTGACCCACATTTGTCAAAGCCAGTGTCTTGTAGTTGGACTTCTTCTGTGTCTATACAGCTTGTGGACATGTACTCTTGGGAACAAACACTTGTTTCATCCCAAGTGTTTTCACTTATACCTGTAAGTTTTTCACAATTCTTAAGAAGATCATCCATTTCTTTCAAGTACGGTCCAATCGACAAAGTCTGGCACAAATTCACTCCCATGAATGTGTGGTCAGACTGAGCTGGACTCAGTAGTAAGTTTCCACCAGCTGCTTCAACTGGCTCATCATCTCCTTCATTAATGAAGAGGGGAGCACTAGCATTAACACTGACACAGTCGTTTTCCATTTTTGTGATCTTCAGGCCTAGAAAGGTAGTAAATGTATCAGATATAAATGTCCGCTCAATGTGAATTTATACTAATGGAAACTACACATGATTCACACAATACCATCTACCAGTAGTTGTTATTTCAAGTGACTCATTTTAACTGCCTATGTTAGCTGTTGGCAGCCTGCTGCATGTCATAAATACCACTGTCTGTGGATGCCAACACAACAGATGAGTTGAGTTAGTGTTTCTGCCAGACTTCTGTTCAAGCAATGCCCATGTCATTATCACATATAAAACTATGTTGAGCTGTGCAAAATTAGCAGACACTTCTGCAGCTGCAGCTGGTGGCCTAGCTTAGATGCCCAGGGGACTGCACATTGGTTGTGAGACCCACCCCAAACACGACTACAGTACTAACATTAGCACATACAAAATATGGTATGGTATACCCAGTAATTTAGAATGCACCTCTGATAAAATATCAGTATAACTTCAACAGTATTAAGTGTGTTCATTCTTTTAGATCAAGATCTGGGGTATAAGAGCTACCCACTCACACAAGACATGAGCAGCTGTCTCCTTGTGACAGAAGCTCAGAACAGAATCAGAACAAAGCACATTCCTATAGACCTTACACCAACCAGGGAAGGTAATACAATTTTAAACATGCACACTTTTCTTCTTTAAAACAATCAACTTAGTCCTGACAATGTATTTCTTTATCATGCATTTACAATTATAAGAGAAACTCAGCTGTTATAACACACTTTCAATAACAGCTATAAAAGTTGTAACTAAAAGGGTGATAAAAGTAAGCAGAACTTACTTGTCTATATATGTCTTTGTCCCTGTGTGTCATCACTGGTGTAAATCAGGTCAGCAGAAGTTGTGATTCAAACAGCCAAGTGGAGAATGAGCGGGACCAATGTGTGTGAGTTAAGTAGGAGGGGGTTAGGACAGTTGACCCGGCCTCCTCGCTCTCTCACGGGGCTGCTATGTGTCACCATAACTACCCCAAGTCTGTTTAAGTTTATAAATAACCAGTGGGCTGAGACCGGGATCAGCAATTAATACTAGTTTAAACCAAGAAGAAACTTCAGAAATGCACCGTTGATTAGCATATAAATAAATGCAGTATAATCCAATCATATTTATTGTATCAACATGTTTATTATTGGTGTGTGACACAAATATTCTGGGTTCCTATCGTAAACATGACTTCAAATGCCTCCCATGCCTCCTCATTATCAAGCGGCCTTTAAATAACTGCTGTACTTCTGGTTGCTTCCTATGGGAAGATTGGTTTTCACTGAAACTGTTGACCTCAATGATAAACCAGAAGACAGGTGGTCTAGTCTTTTGTTGGTGGAGTTGACAGGCAAAAACAACGTTCAGTAGCAGCTGGGTACAAAACCAGAAGAGGGCGACAAAGTTTAACTTTTATGTCTTAAGCGCAAAAGTAACGTATGCCATTATTCCAGTGTAAATATATTTAGAGATATACAGCTTATACAATATTTAACTGTAAATAGGCAGTACAAAACCCATATAATGTTTTATGCTGGTGATGACCCCAGATGGCTATTGCATTTGGTTAAATCAGTGCTCTTGCAAATGTAGTCTACACATTAATCTTGCCTTAGCAGTCCCTTTCCTCTTTCCAATTGATAATTAATGTTTCTATATTTGCTCTTGTTTACTTGCACCTGCCAGACAGTTCATCATACAGTATTCTCTCACTCTGGTTAAGTGTGCTTTAATGACAACTGCCTCATGTAATGTTTATATTACAGTGAGTCGTGAGGCCAGAGCAGTAAGCTGCCATCTTCACACTGTCACCACTGCAGCAGTGTTTGACAGTGCTGTTTATTATCTTACCAGCTTAACACAGAACAGGTACTGTATTAGGCTCCCTGTCTATTTGTTATGGTTTTCCACTGGAATTGTATTTAAATTAATGTGTATAGCAACCACAAGGTGTCAAAAGTTAGTGCAGAGAGTTAGTTAGCAATTTTTCAGTTTAAAGTGGACAAAGCCTTCACTTGGATGAATGGAGAGGGCTGCATCATCGAATCCATTTAAAGTCTATGCCAGATAGACAGACCTTATAAATTGCTAGGTAAACCCAAAAGAAGCTATTTACAATGAAGTAAGGAGGAAGGAAGATTAGACTGCATAAGTATATTTCTATCCACATTTTGCTATTGTAATTCATAAATTAATTGTAACTTAAAGTGACTTCCTAATTTATTAAATTATTCTAAGTTATTTTCATGTATTAAGTACTGGATCACTTGCAGTTTTCCAGCTCTAAAATCAATCTCTCATTAAACTTACCCCTGGAGAGAGTAAAAACAGACACAGAAGAGACAAATAACCAAAGAGGAGACAGATGGATGAATGGAAAGATGTGTCCACTGAGTCTGAGCCATAGCAGTCCAACAGCCGCAACGCCCCTCAGGAATTCATGCTGCACAAATATTTCATGCACTGTTTTTAAATGAGTGCATCACTCTCACCTAACAAGTTTCAGGGTTTTTTCAAGCTTGGTGAAGCATTCAGTTTGAACAAACGTGTTATTTTAAAGATACTTATAATAAAACAGTGACACTTATTTCATAAAAATACCCTGTTGGATTTGTAAAACACATCTGGAATCAAACCCTCTAGATCGATAAAAAAAAAAAAAAAAACATTTTCTGGTAATTCTTTTGCCATTTTGAGATTAGTACTTGGCTCGAGCATTTAACTTCTAAACTATTTATTTAGTATCAATGGGAAGTCTAAACAATGGTTCCCATACTTGATCTTGAGAACAATCTATGTATTGTCTCACACTCCAAACTTCGCCAAACTTGGGTTCTCAGCAAAAAAAAAAAAATCAATCAATTAATAATATTATATTTCTTTTGAAACATATTTAAAATACTCCCATATCCCTGGTTGGGTTACATTGGTCTAAATCAGAGGTGGGCAATTTTTTTGTGTGTGTAACGTGATGGAGACCAACATGATCATTGGTATAAACATTGGTATGAGCACATTTCTGTAAAATGAAGGCTACTGTAATCTATTACTATACTATAATAATTACTAAAGTCAACAAGTTGACCTACCAACTTACCAGAAACTACAGCCAAATACTAAAACCCAAATTCAACTTGCCCATCCAGACACATTGAATAATAAAAAAGATGGATGGCTAAAGGGTTAAACGAGTAAAGATCCCTCCCATGTCCTCTTCTGAAGATAGCATCATAAAGATAGACATCAGGAAAAGCTAATCCAAGGTCAACAGTGCAGCCATGTTTCTCCATGACATCACTGCTTTCAACTTCAAATACCATAATGCTTAAATATTTTGTTGGAGGGTGCCTCATGTTTGCAGTTGAGTCCTCTGTGACTAAGTTGTGACTTGTTTTAGGACTCAACTGGGGTTGTAAAATGCTGCTGTGTTGTCTTAGAGTTGCTGTCTGGCTTCTGGAAGAAAATGTTTCCTAGAGGCATTATAAAAACAGTCTGCATCCACAGCTTCATTCAGTAGTTAATGTCTCACCAATATTCACACCTCATTTTCAGTCTATTTTCATTTTAAACACCTGGTGCTAACTAGAGCATTTATGACTTTTACTATCAAATAATATGTTGCGATTGAACACTTTTGTATCTTCTCCAGGGGCAGTTTAGAGGAATGTGATAGTAATGACAAAGGTGCAGGTAGCAACACGTCCAGACAGGAAACTGCAGAGGGCACTTAAGGTCAATATGTTTTCTTTATGTGTGTTTAAATGCCAACTTGTACACCCATTCTTACTTGGAAGGTGTTTTACAAATCTGCACTCATGGTACACCATTGTTATGCAAACACTGTTTAATATTATTCAACAGAAGTAAAAGCATATTGACAATAGGCTACTAGCAGTATTATTGCACTGTCGTTACAATATCACATACCACTTCTCCATAATACAAAAGTACAGTGCATATTTATCAGTATATTGGGTGTTCACAAAGTACTGCCTGCTCTAGTTGTGTCTAGAGAGACAAAGCACCTCTGATTTATGCTGAGGAATCCCTGTATTTCATAGCACAGCAAGGTTTTAAACTTTTCCCTATGCTCCAAGTCTATTATTGCACACTTTAACTTTGGCTCTGCCCTCATTTCTCAATTACTCCACACATACTCAGCTATATGGTACTGACTAACAAGCTACATATTGTATAATAGCAGTGATTAAATCAAGTACTCTAGCCTGGGAATAATGATGTTTTGATTATTGCCTTTGTATAGACATTGAGCCTCCACCACAGAAAAAAAAACATTATATAACTAAAACCACAAATCACAACATCATACACATGTTGATGTCATTGCTGCTAATTTGTTCTTAATAATGACCCAGTTTAAATATTTAGCGTATAAAGCGTAAAAATAACAGTTATACCACTGTTAGCATGTACCTTTGTGCTTGGTAATAACATTGTTGTTCATGGTATGCCAAGTAGACATACATAAGGCCATGTTTTTATCGCATTGTCATGGAAACACCAAAACTTTTCAGTCTTTGCAGCACAAGTGAACTAAACTGTGACTCATTTAGACCCCACCTAGTTCCTCAGAACAGAGGCTTCCCTACTTCACTGCTATTAAATTATTTTTACATTTATGATAGCAAATTATGATGCATTTACTGTATGGTCTTTTTCTCATTCAAATATGAAGTATTTTGTTTTAAATGTTTAATCGCTATGGCAACAGTGCTATTTTTTTCATCATTCTGAAACCCATTGATAGATTCTATCTATATATTATATTGAGTATTATAAATTATTAGATTAAAATTAAATGACACTAGCAGGAATCCAATCTAAAAGAAAGCTTCTGCTTCAGTGTAAGTACATTCTTGTAATTCTCAACTATAAAACACGACTCAGTTCAGTGATGTTGTAAATGTTTCATTTAAAAACACCCATTTCAGGTACCTGTTTGGCCAAGTAAATCATCTCATCATCATCTCTTTTTGCAGTCACACCCACAATGCTACCAACAGATCTATATAACAGTTAGCGTTACATTTCATTAAGAACAGTCTGCACTGCATTACGTAACTTTCTAGGCAGAGTAGAAATCCCCCCTAAAAGTGCTTCCAGATGTCACTACTTTGTTTGTACAATACATGTTTTGAAATAGGGGTTACTCACAAGTATCTTTGAGGCTTAAAGCTTTGTTAAGTGAGTATATCGAAACTAGATAAACAGGTAATGTCCCCCTTGACTTGTCATACCTGTCTACCTAAAAATGTAGAGATCGAATTTCGTCCTGACCGTCCAGGAGAAGAAGAAGAGACACACCCCCTTTACTGTAATTCAAACAGATGTGCTCTGCAACGGTTCACTGCTATCGCCTGTTGTTGTAGTATATTGACAGCCGTGTGAATTTGTGTGGCTTTACCTGGTTTAGAGCGTTAACCATGGGTGTTTTAAACTGCATTTTCTCTTTATCTGTGTTCCTGTTTCTTCAAGGCCTTGGGCTGACTTTCCCTGGGGATTCGGGAATGACAGTACCTGATCCACGCAAAGGAGGCTAAATTTATAAACTGTTAATGTCTGGTTGGTATTCATATAATTATAATGTAAGTTATGTTGTTATGATGTTATGCTAGGTGCAAACTTTATATCCCATATTTGAAATTGTGTGACTAAGCTCTTGCAGGACACGGAGAGGTGGGAGGAGAGGCTGGCTTCAGTACAGAGGGAGGGACTGTCTGTGCACTGAGCATGGAGCTCCTCATTCACACACAACTTAACACACATATACACATGGTCTACAATGTCCGGACAGAGAGCGAGCGAGCAGAGGAGCAGTGGAGTAGATAGTGCTACAACCGTAAGTTGTACACACGTTGCTTTAGCTATTATAACTCTAGACCTACAGGCTTTATTGTTAGTTATACATTTGACTTTTTTATACAAAGACACATAAAAAATATTCATGCAGCTTTGCTAATGTAAACTGCATATGACACACACTTATTGTTGATGCTGCAGTCGTCCAGGTCTTATTCATCTCAAGGGATTTTCTTCTACATACATAGACAAATGGGACAGGCAGCCTTGTCTTGAGAAACTGCCTGAGTAGGACAATGTAAAAATACTGCAGTCTACCTCAGGCTTATGCTTTGATGATTACTTCATATCCCCATATTGTGCAATAAGCCGACTTAAGTGTTAAATTTCATCCCAGCTAATCTCCCTATTCTAATGAATGTGCTCTTGATTTGCATTGGTTTATCTGTCTGTTATGTCATACTTGTACATATCACTCCCTCCTTCTCATCCTGCTGCTTTCACTGTTGTCCCAGGTGCTAAAGAACTAACAGCCTATGACAGTGACAGGGGCCAAAGAGGGGACTTGTTTCATCTATGGTCTACTCTAGATGATTCTTGCTTTGATTTGAAAGCTTGGACATCCAGGATCACTCTCCAAAATGTCCAGGAGGAGGTCGGCCGGAGAACTGGTGCCTAAGGACATTACTGAGGTCTTAGCCCGGGAGGCGAGGGTTCAACGTGGACACAGAAAGCCGGGCAGCTCCCTGGGTCAAGCCTTCAGCTGGTTAAAGGGAGGCAAGAGGAAGAAGAGCATTGGTAATGGACTCAATCAAATTCCTGCCGGTGTGAAAGACAATAAAGGGGCTGTGCACATTCATGACTCTGCCAAAGGTGAGCTAACTTTGTTATACATTTTGTTATATGAAAAAGTAAAAGCTGAAAATATATATTATGTCATACTTATATATACATAAGATTTTGCTCAGTTGGATTTTGGTGCACTTATGAAACATGTATGCTCATGTTCAGGTGCATAAAACTAGATGTATTGCGGTGGATACTGGAGTATGTGGTGTATTGACCAAAGGTGGATCAAGCAAATTAAAAAAATCTATCTAATGATTGTTGATAATTTAAATAATATTATGAGATCATATTGATCTTGTGTGATTCATATCACTATTGGTACAAGCGATTGAGTAGTTTTTTTTTGTTCTATGTGCATCTCTGGTGTAGTCCAGTTTTAGCTTTTGGTTCACTCGTTAATTGAAATTAAAAGTACTGTCCAGCATTCAAAGGATTTGTTTATAAAAGATGATGTTGAGCGCTTGTTCTGGTCTGAAATCTGATAATATAATATACTGCACAGTAGTGGTGGTGCTGACAAAAATCATAATCTACTTTTGCAAATAAAACTGATGACCACTGAAGAAAACTCACATCCGTAGCCACTTGTATTAGATATAAATATGTCACAAAATTTGCTAATGATGGAAAGTATACAGTTCTTTTCACTGTGGATTAAGAATAAGAAACATTTTTTAGAGTTATTATGAGGCCATCAGTTTGTACATTCACCCACACACAGAGACAAGCAGGCTCTGGGGTCTAATCCCCTTTTCTGTTTACTGATGCGTCTGCCTGCTCCCCTGCACAGAGATTACCACTCTCCACATTTCCTGTTTTTGTTCCATTTCAAAAGCTTTTCCATTGGCTTTTGTCACTGTATGTGTAGGCTTTGTGGGCATGTGTAACTGTGGTACAACTCATGCTTTTGTATTGGCACTTTCTAGTTATTACACAGATAGTTATTCCTCTTTAAAACTTTTAAAATATTGGAGGTCCAATGGTCAGAAAGTCAGTATTAAGGTTTAAACTTATCATTGGTTCACATTTATTTTTCTGTATTCATTTTGTACATAAAAATAAATAAAGCATGGTCTATGTCATTGTTTAAGGAATGATTTGTATGTTGGTTTAAAGTAATTATAGCATTTGTATTTTTTCAATATGGTCACTAATGGAAGAAATTATGACATGGTTTATATTCTCTGACTGTGAAGGTGTAAATAAAGGTGCAAATTGTTATACTTGTAGTACATTAGTTTTCTTCTCAACATTATTCTTTAAAATGGATAGGACATTTATTACTAAACACGCTGAATATTATTTAAGTTTGAAAATAAAATTTTAAAACGCTGATGTACTATTTCGAGCACATACTGTATATATTTGGTAGTAACTGTGCTATACAAAACTAAAGGCTTTATATGTTTTATTTAGATGTCATCAGTGTCAGCATCAATAACCAATCAGAGGCTTTAATTAAGAAGAATTACTTAAGAAACAGCTGTAAGTAACTAATGGAGGTAAGTTCAAAAGAGACAGTGATTAGATTAGATAGGAAAGACAGATGGTGCTCTCATGTGGGAACAATAAACTGGTCATTACCTTTGTCGTGAATTGGCTGACAGGTGAAAATACCTGTAAAGGAGCACTTTTCCCACCATTAAATAATGACATTTCACTGTTCTAGTATCTGTTCAGTTATTATAAATTACATAGGTGTTTGCTTTGTTGTGATTCAGACTTGACTTTCAGAAAGTTGAGCAATACCTCCCTTGTAACTACCGGAATAGTACCCTATAATAAGTATTGTTTCTTGGGTACATGCAGTGCATGTGTTCAGGTTTTTGTGTGTGTATAGCTGCTTGGTAGCCTGGTTGCCAGATTGAGTCTAGAGTTATGTGATGGAGAGCAGAGATTACAACAAATCACAAAGCCCTATTCAGCCTTGAGAGCGCTCTGAGGGAACTTTTTTTAATTAAAAGAACTTCTCCACAAAAGCAAATGCAAAAAAACAACTCCAATCTATTCTAAGTTATAAATGTGATAGATTTTATTTATTTATTTTTTGAAACGCTAAAGTACAGTAAGTTATTTTAAATGTGCTGGTTAGAATGACTTTGCAATATCATCCATCAATCTACAACTGATGCCTTGGGGGGAAAGAGTCAGAATTAACGATAAAGACGAGAAGACTCCCCATTACTTAAAGTTCCTATATTTGAGCCATGATATAATGTTGATAACACTTTATTATAAGTTTATTTACATCTCCAAAGCTCAAAATGATCTGCTCCACCTTGTGATGTCATGCAATGGTAGTTTTCAAGTTAGCAGCTACATTTTACCTTTTGTTCAGTAGAGATAGGCAATTCCAGATCTGAAATTATCCAAATGATTCAAATGAAGGTGTATGGACTTTAAAAACACTTGTGGAGCACTTCATGTATTACCACATGGCATCACAAAGTGGGACAGATTGTTTTCTGTGTGCAGGAAATTGTGTGTTAAACATGTGTAAATGAAACAAAACAGAACAAAACACAACTCTGGGTATGTTTGTGAAGAGGAAACAACATTATAATATAGGTAAGAAAATATTGTCACATGGGTCCTTTAAGTTAAAACTCGTAATAATCATCACAGTGAATGCTGAAAATACAGCACTAAAACTAAACAAAATTATTTCTCTGTTCTTACATGCTACTTTTTAAGATTTCTTCACCAGATTGCTTAACATATTCCATTGCTTTGGGTGTGACCCCTGCAGTGCCTATTATTGTGTAAGCAGTACTCCTTATTTAAAGTCATGTTAGTGTGACACAGTACTAGCCTGTATCAGAGGGTGTGTGTTGTCAGTGGCTCGTTGCTTGGCTTAGCGCGGCGCCATCCTAACACCAGGCTCATTACATCACCTCTGTACTGAACAACACAGTGCATAGAGACTGGGACTACCTGCTTTGTCCAGTGTGTTCCATTGGGCTGTTTGAGCACTGAGGTCATTGTAGATAGGCCCAGGGATTCCATCAGAGTGTCCATATACTGTCTTTGTTTATACATGCATCCAGCCATGTGGTCCTCTCAGCACTAGTGAACTGCGACATTTGTAATGAAAACATGGAAGTAATGAAGAATGCTTTTCTTTGATATGTTAGTTTGGTATTTGTATTTTGTCACGGTATTGCTTTGTTTAGCTTTGATGGTGGATGAGTAATAAATTTGTGATGTGTATCTTGCTGTTGTCTATATTAGGTCAGGGTAGGTTTTGATTAATTTCAAAAGGGTCAAGATAACTTTGATTAATTGTTTACCATACGGGGGTGTGCTTGCATGTTATGTTGAATAGTTTCAGTTTTGGATGAAGAAATCATACTATGTTTTATGTTAAATGCCAATTATGAAAACTCTGTTTTGTTTATGTTCAGGAAACTAATACCAAATTAGATAAAGAATTATAATAGAAAATGATAGCTGATAAATTAAAGTGAAAAATCATATTAATTTCTTTCACATATTGCCAAACTCCAGTGAAGTCCCAGAAGCTCAACTGAATTTGCTTGACCTTTTGATGTATTTTATATGATTACCTGCTAGTTTTTAGATGTTGCAAATTACACTAGTGGTATGTGTGGCTGCCACATCATGTGCAGTGGGTATGGTTGGGTATATTCACAAACTATGATTTAGATTACAGACTTGGCAGAGTAATTGGTAAGCTAACATCTCATTATAGTGAGAACATTACATATACAGCTTCTACTCTATTACAGGCCACAAAGCACAATTGAAATGTTGCCTGGCAGAGCACTGGGAGGGACAGGCACAGAGAGATGAGTGGAAATAGTGTGAAAGATTAATGAAAACACACATTGTTCCAGAAAACATCATTCACCACTTGTACACACTTTGATGGCCGAGGTAATTTTACCTGGGTAAGCAGATTCCTCTTACCCCCATCCGTCAGCCACAGTATAGGACTAAAGCTACACTCCTGAAAGTCACTAAGGCAACACAGCCCAGTGTCAATCAGCAATACTGAGTTTACAACAGGACAGCTACATTATGTCCTCTTATAGAATTATACTGTGCACTTTAGCATAGAGCTGCTGAAACTAGCAACAGAGATCAAGAATGACAGTGGTGGGTGTAGTTAGAACAAGAAACAGAGGCAATAATGCAATTATATAATACGGTGTATAATAATAAGATGGGAAGGTCCAAAGGTAAGTAGGGTCTTTTTGGGAATGATGCCTGTCATTTACTCTTGCCATATTAATAAATCAATGCAAAAAAGGTTTTGCTAAAATATTGCTTGGCACGGTGATTCTTCAACTATTTTGCTCTTTACTAATTTTGGAAGCTCAATATTTCTTATCTATTTTTGGAAATTTATAGCCTAATTCATCAGCTGGTTTCACTATGTGGAAACCGTCTGACCTCGCAGTGTTAGAATTTGTTTGCTCGACGGTAAGCCGGCACTTTTTTTTATTTAACCAATCGCTGCTATTTGGTTGTGACGTATGTAATGTGCCACTAATGGGGATAACTGGTGTATTAAGCTTTTGACAAATCCTGTAGGAAGAAGGACAATAACATCTTCCCCTTGATAAAATTCACCAAACATTCTCTTTGTTGCAGCTTTAAATCCTCGATCTCGGGAATCGTTGCCAACACAGAATGAAGTGTTACGGATTCGCACTTCCAGGGTTCTTGCAAATCGTCTCGTGTATTCCGATTCCTGACCTAGTCACTGAAGAGAAATGAAATTGAGCGGAGGCACTAGGTGATGCCAGCCTGACTAGGAAATTTAAGGCATATATTTGAAATTAGAAATCTTGTCTAAATTAGCACACAATAATAAATTAGTATTTTAGTCTGCTTTGCAAAGCAGCCCCCTGAAACTTCATTCGAGGTTATTGTTTATAAGCTGATAGGAGCTGGTAGTTTTACTGAATGTGCTGTAGACTTGATGTGGTGAGGGCTCAGCTGGAAGACATCAGGGCTGAGGGTGGCAAGCGTGCTCCAGTGTACATCACAGTTAGCTT